TGTGATCTCATGTGGAGCAAATTGGATTCGTATAAGAGATGATTGAGAATATACATATGAGTAAAAAGCTCTGAAGTATTCTGCAGAGTCCTTGAGTTACAACTGTAATGGAGCCTGCCAATTATGGTCACAAATTGTGGTGGTCATTAAGTGGGGCACCCACATGATTGCCTTGTTTAACAACCCCCACACTGTCATTAAGTTGAGCACAGGTGCCTCAGAGGTAAGGAAGGCCCTTGGAGGCCTAGCACAAGCCCAGGCTTGCCGGCCTGGGTTTCCCTCCCCAGGCACCTTGTGCTCAGTTTTTTGCTCCTGAGTGTCCATGCAGGGGGACACCCAGGGGGAGGGCCTTCTCTGTGGGAGCCCCAGCCCTGTGGAACAAACTGCCCCCGGAAATTCGTAAGATCTCCGACCTCCGGGTGTTTCGCTGCGCACTGAAGACCCTGTTGTTCCGCCAGGCCGGACTATCAACACAATAGTTTTAAATTGGGGTATTTAAATTTTTTGGGGTTTTAAATCTGAGCCAATTTATTTAATTATTTAAAATTTTACATTGTTATTTTGTCTGTGTTTTTAAATAGGCTGTACACCGCCCTGAGTCCTTCGGGAGAAGGGTGGTATAGAAATAAAATTATTATTATTATTATGCAGACTTCAGACCTGCTTTTTTATTTGCAGGCTTTGGGCTTCCTTCCCATCCCACCACTTATCCATCCAGGGTTGCTCAGGCCAGCATGTGAAGTGACTGTAGCTTGCAAGCCTTGAGCTTCTTCTCACCCAGCCACTCATCTACTTAGGGAAATTCAGGTTGGCTGGGGTACACACAAGTAGCTATAGCCTGCAGGCCCTGAACTTTCTTTCCATTTAGCCACTCATGCACCTAGGGCCAGCTCCAGGGCCAGCTGCACCCAACTTACCTTTTCTGTTTTTGCAGCTTCTGGGAAAAGTTTCTGGCTGATGTGAAGCTCAGTGTAGGAGATGAACCGGCTGAGCCTGAGAGTGGGATTAAATGTGTTATCAGTCTTGAGTCCCTTCGTCTCCAAGAGATCTAAGTCCACCTTGAATTCTGTTGATCCTTATCTATTGCCAATTTGCTTTGACCGTTAGTAGTTCAGATTCTTTTTTTAAAAATACTTTATTTATACATTTTTCTTTAGTAAACATAAAAATTCAATATCTACATGAACAGTGGGTTGTCTGGGTAATGTTTTGAAAAATTATAGTAATAATAATAATATTCATAGCATTGATCATAGTCACATAATAGCATTTGCTTATCCATACTAATAGTTCTTCATTATATAATCATTCTCTTAAACTTTTAAGTTTCTAACTTCTGTTTCTGTCAACTAAGCATTGGTAAAATGAGTCCCATGTTAAAAAATATTGTTTCTTCCTTCTCCTTTATTCTGAGTGTTAGTCTATCCATCTCTGCGTTCAAATATTTTTTTTTATTATACTTTCATCTGTAGGGATTTCTTCATTTTTCCACTGTTGTGGAAACACACTTCTCGCTGCTGTTAACACATGTAAAATTAAATATGTATTCCTTTTATTGAACTTTTCTGGTAAAATACCCAACAAGAATATTTCTGTATGTTGCTTTACCATTTTTTTTAACTATGTATGTACTTTTGTCCAATTTTTTTTGCCTTTGGACATGTCCACCACATATGATAATACGAACCCAGTATCTGATTGCATTTCCAACATTTGGCTAACATCTTTTTAAACATCTTTGCCATTCTTGTCAGTGGTAAATGCCGCCTATAAAACATTTTATATAAATTTTCCTTGTAGGCAGTTGACACTGTTAATTTGTAATTTCTCTCCTACAGTTTCTGCCATTTATCTAGCTCTATAGTATATCCAAAGTTTTTAGCCCACACTATCAGTTTCTTTCACTTGTTCTTCTTCCATTTTAATACTCTATAGATGGCTATACATTTTTAAATTAATTTTTCATCCATCACTAATAGCATCTGATCTAATTATGTTGGTTCTTTATAGAAACCATACATTTTTACATATTTCTCATACCTTAATTGTATTTGCACGTGCGGCCACCATGCTAAATCAATCACTTGATTTTTCAATTCTTGCTTAGTTTTAAGTTCAGATTCTTGTAGAGAGCATTAGGATACAATAAACCTACCGTATTTTCCGGCGTATAAGACAGACTTTTTAACACATGAAAATCTTCTCAAAAGTCGGGGGTTGTCTTATACGCCGGGTGTAGTTCTCCTGTAACCAGGCAGACCAGCCCGAAAGGCTCTGACGAGCCTTAAATGGCTCTGGCGATCCCAGCTCTGGCGATCCCAGCTCTGGCGATCCCAGCTGAGTTCCCTGCAACTCAGCTGGGATCGCCAGAAACCACGTAAAAGGAAAAAAGTTTTTTACCTTTTACTCTGACGATCCCAGCTCTGACGATCCCAGTGAGTTCCCTGCAACTCAGCTGGGATCGCCAGAACCATGGCTCTGAGGGTCCCAGTTCTGACGGTCGATCCCATCCCAGCTGAGTTCCCTGCAACTCAGCTGGGATGGCCAGAGCCATGTAAAAGGGAAAAAGTTTTCCCCCTCCAGCTTGCTTACCTCAGCTGCTAATCGCAACGCTTGCCTTGCTTTGCTTGCTTGAATCTATTCAGGCAAGCAAGCAACTCCCTGCCTGCAATCAAGCAAGGAGTTAGTTGTGGACTTCAACTCCCAGAATTCCTCAGCCAGCAAAGCAAAGCTGGCTGAGGAATTCTGGGAGTTGAAGTCTACAAGTCTTAAAGTTGCCAAGGTTGGAGACCTCTGTTCTATTGGGTAAGTTTTTTTCCCCTTTGGGAGCTTTAAAAAAAATAGTCAATTGGGGTTTTTTTAGTTGTTCTTTTTTAGACCTAGCCATTTAGGAAGCCGTTTAGGAAGTTTTAAATTTAGCTTTCATATAAAAATAAAAATAAAATAAAATAAAATAATATTTGTGCAGCTTTGTGAGATTTAGTGTGTTTCTGTAGTGTTTCACTCCAACTACACAAACACACAAAATCTCACAAAGCTGTATGTGGAATTTTGTGTGTGTAAAGTGTGAAAGTTGGTTTTTTGGACTTTTTGTGGCTGTGTGAGGTTCCTGCTTGTTGCAGGGGCCATTTTGGGTCTAGCACAGTTGCTTTTACATTGTGGGTGAGCCAGTTGTGTTGTGTTGTGTGTGTTTAGAGTGTGAAAGTTTTTTGGGGGGGCTTTTTGTGGCTGTGTGAGGTTCCTGCTTGTTACAGGGTCCATTTTGGGTCTAGCACAGCTGCTTTTACATTGTAGGTGAGCCAGTTGATGTTTTTTAATTTTTATTTGGTGTGCATTGGAAGAGGGGCAGTCTTATATGGCAAGTATAGCCCAAACCCTATATTTTAACAGGAAAAGTTGGGGGTCGTCTTATATGCCCAGTCGTCTTATACGCCGGAAAATACGGTATATTCATTTGAACTGACTGGACTCCTGATTTTCTGTGCTTGACACACAAGTCTTTGGAAGAATAGCTGTACATTGAATAGGCTACTAACACATAAGCAAATACTTGGTTTCTTGCTTGTAACTTTAATGAATAGCCTCTGCCTCTTGTCAGTTGTGATAACTCTTACATCAATGACCTATGAACTTTTGTTTGTGGGAAAAGTTGTCTTTAGACATTTTCTATACAATTAAGGATTTTTTTAAAAAAGCAAAATGGCTATATGAACTGAATGAACTCTGTTATGGTACAAATTATTCTGGAATGCTTCCTTGTATTATTACAAATAATATTATAGGGTGTTTCCCAATTTATCTTATATGCATATATGTGTGTGTGAGAGAGATTTGTTGGAGACTAAGTCTCTGAATTAATTTATATAGATTGGCAGAAAATGTCAGTTACAATTATTGTTTGAAACATTTCATTAAGAGATGATGCTATCAGTAGATACAAAGAAGAGAGAAGTCAAAGGAAAATAAGAATGGTCATTAGATGAAAACAACTGGATATTTATGTATTAGCAATGGAACTGACCTTCTCAGCAAGGGGTATTTTACTGACATCTGAAGGGCCAAAATTTCCCCACTCCTACATTAATGAAAAACCTCCTTAATTACCAAGTAATTAAATTGATGATTTGTGGTAAGATCTGATTATTTTTGGATTGTATATTTCTACAAACAACTTTCAGCATTAGAGGATAGAGGACTGGATCAGATTTTTTGCTATTAGAGTAGTTAATAGGAATTATTAACTGCTCTAAAGATTATATGCTATTACTTAAGTTGGATTTCAGTAATAATACATGTCTTAAATCTTGTTGATTTTTTGTTCTGCTTTAAATAAAGCTAATCTGGATTCCAAAAGTTGAAGATACTGCTTTTAATTTATTAGAAAAGTCATGTTTTAAAATAAGTGTTCTGCACTCAGGGTGGTGTCTTAGCAACAAGACTTTATTATGTAAATGAGCATGACTGAAAAAAATAGTATATGTCTTTTTGTGCTAATGGAACCTCAAATGGTTAATTAGCTAGCATTTATAGTTGCAAAATGGTGGTTTAAAATTGAATGCTATAATATAGGGTATTTTTAAAAAAACATTAACAAAACTGAGCAAGCAATTCATAGCCATGATTTGCTTTTATATTTTTTGAGAGAAGAAAAGGAACTTCATCATCAAAATGTGAAGGGAAGATGGTTCAGGCCTAATTTATAATATCCTACATGAATTGTCCTTTGGGGATGTTGAAGTGAGACTATAGAATAAGTTATACATTTTTGGAGACAACAACACTAAAGTAAGCAGTGATCAACACAAATCTGTTTAATGATATTATGAGATGGGGAATGTTACATGTAAACAGGATATAATCCTTCAATCAGTAGATATAGTCACTACTAGCATCTATTGTACTGACATTTTAAGATCAGCAAATGAAAATCAGAAGAAATCATTGGGTATTATTTATCCTTTCCTTCTAAAGTACTAGACTGATTTAATCTTTCATTGCAGGCTCAACTAGAGGCTCAGAAAGCAACACAGGATTTTCAGAGAGCAACAGAGGTGCTACGGGCTGCTAAGGAAACCATTTCTCTTGCAGAACAGAGGCTGCTGGAAGATGATAAACGTCAATTTGATTCTGCATGGCAAGAAATGCTTAATCATGCCACCCAGCGGGTAGATTGTATTACTACTCTTTCTATAAGTTTTTAAGCATTTTAGACAAGGACACAGAATTAATACTTTACAGATACTTATTTTACAGATAATACTTACTTCAGGGACAGTTTATTCATAGATATTAGGAGAAAAGCAGCAAGACTATTTGTGTGTAATTTTTCTAACTTCTAAAACAGGTAAAGCAATTATAGGTTAGTAACATGTAGAAAAAGGCTGAATTTGTCCATGAATGATGTACAATGGGCCTGCTACTGCACAAATAAACATTTTGATTTAAAGGCACATAACTTATTCCTTCAGGTCTTTCATCAGTAACCACCAAAACTGAGTCCATCCATCTGCTGCTGGGCATGGTTTTCTCTCCCCCCCCCCATTTTCCAAGCATTATGATTATTTTCAGAAAGCTAGGTGGGTTGATTTGTAATCATTGTTTAATATTAATCAGACTTTGGGCATTATTTATGATTAAATGAAAGTAGCTTTTTTTTAGTAGGAAAATGGCTAATGTTAAAAAGAAAAATAATTGCCTTTTTAAAAAGACCTTGACATAGTTATCTAAACATTCTTCAAATTCACTGATTCCATGATTCTGTGAGTTTAATTTACATGGAAGTTTATCATTTTTTGCATTTTTGTAACACTGATAGAAGTATAGTCAAGTGGCCAATGGCATGTTGCTAACTTTAATAAATTATAGAAATATTTACAACTCAGATTCCACTGAGCCCTCTTTTTTATGTGGTTGTGCTATTTTACCAGATATTACTTAAACATTTGAGGAATATTGTTACTAAAAACAAACCAAGCTTTGCATATAGTAGCTTAAACTCAAAAACATTTTCATAATGCTTTTTAAAGGTTATGGAAGCAGAGCAGACAAAAACTAGAAGTGAACTTGTACATAGAGAAACAGCAGCCAAATACAATGCTGCCATGGGCAAAATGAAACAGTTGGAGAAGAAGCTGAAAAGAGCTATCAACAAATCCAAGTAAGTTTAAATCTCCAAGGGATCAAGTGATGTTCTGATTGTCGAGTGATTTTCTGACATATGTAAATAGAACCATGAGAAACCATGGGAAATGTCAAAGGCAGCCTTGAATCACAGACTCCTTCCAAATGCCCAATGCAAGACAAATGCAAGTCACAGAAATAAATATGTGATTGTAGTTCAGCAGTATAGTGTGTGATTCAGTGCAAATCATTTATCTGTGACATCGCCAGATAGGATTTTAAGTTTTCTTAAAGAGTGCTTCATAAAATCTTCTGTCAATCTGAATTAATAGCTATTAGTTCTCTGGACCAGTGGTCTTAATCCTTGGTTTGTTTCATCAATGAGGCTTAAACTGTGGTTTAACCGTGGTTTTAAAAGTTGCCTGAAAAACCATAGGAAAACTACATTATGGTTTAGCCACTGTAAAAAAGACCTACCTGATGAATCGTGCTGTGCCCTCATATTTGGTGCTTCATTTATCAATTTGAGCTACTACTATCTTGTGCTTGGAATGCCTTTCAGGATTGTTTAAAAACAGATCTTGGTCAAATTATATTAGCAAGATTATTCTTTGAGGCTGATAAAATGAAACTATCTCACTATTTTAGTAGTTTTTCCGTTACAGTACAGTATTGTTTTTCAGTCTCTGCTAGACTTTAATAATGGAACAATTTAATCCAAGGGCTTTCAGATTCTGGATGAGATGCCTCTAGAAGGTTCTGAGCAACTGGGCAAAGTGGATCAGGTTTCATTTGAACTTGATCTTGCTTGTTAGAGGCAGAAAATTTCCAACATTCTCCAGGTTTCACTCCTTACTGTCAGACCCACCAGGTAGATTAGATCAAGAAGACAACTCTGTAAGAAGGCTAAAGCTACTTTTATTAATATTGGCTATAATAACAGAATTTTGCAAATCTTAATTGTATTCTTCCTCCTTCGTACAGTTCAATACATTGTCTATTTGAATCACTTCTGGATATTCTGAACTTAAGTGTTTTACTCCTCTTTGCCTTGATAGTGGAGTGCCTTGTATATCTTCATCAACATCATTGTTCTTACTCTCACTATTCTATTAGGCAATTTGAGAATCTGTGTGCTGTCATATATAGATTAAGTTTAGGTATATTTATTGCCCAACCGGAAGCCCAATGAAATTATTAGTTTTTTTTGGTAGGTAGGAGTGTCACATAAATTCATTAGCACAGTATTATGGTACATTTTGTATAAACAAATTCCACATATTGAAGTGGAATGGGTAGTTTTTTTTATAACAGTACGGTAAATGGCTGATTGGTTGGGGATTAAAAGGGAGTGCATTGTTCTTCTACCAGTAATAATGCTATTATGTTCCATCCTTATAGGCCTTATTTTGAACTCAAAGCAAAATATTATGTACAATTAGAGGTATGTACTTATTTATTTTATGTAGAAGATAAATATAGTTCTGGATTGAGTTGTGGAGTCCTTGATATTTCTGTGCTTGGTTGTTTGCAGGTATTTCATTACCCAACTAGGTAGTTATTGATTTTTCTTATTTAAAGCCATCTGACTCCCAAAAAAACAATACAAAAAAATCCCTCACACCACTTCTTATTGTTGTAGTGATTGTCTCATTTTAAGAATGATGAAACTTTTATAGATGTAAATATTCTATATAAATGGGAGGTATTGTCTTTTGAAATTTGAGGAAGAATTCCCATCATTTAGAGTATTTATTTCTAATTAATTTTATATCACCTTTATAGGAACCAGATTTTTCAAAGTTTAATTATAATGTATTAAAACAATAAATCAAGTGTAGTAAGTCTTCTCATAGGACAGTTGATCCTATAGAAAAGGGGACAATCTAGTTTCTCCCTCCCTCCCCACCTGCCCAAGAACATTGCTATTTGCCTTGTAGTGTGGAGAATGTAGACAATATATTTCATTGAGGTGGAAGTTTTGCTCTGAGTAATGAATAGTAACCTTTTAGTACGGAAATATTTTTCCGAAAAATAGTCCTAAAATTTTTCCTAAAAAAATCTGCACATATGTGGAGTAGTGACTTTTATATGGTAATGTTAGAAATATATATCCACGGTGAAAAGTATCTCCACCTGCCACAAGTGTCCACCAAACTCTCTCTCTCTGTGGATAGATAGGTTTCAGCTATAAGCTTTCACTCAAACCTTTCTCTGATCCAGTAGCACCAGAACTTGAAAAAAACATTTTCATGATGATTTCTTTAACTAGTCCTCCTTATGTGTTGGACTCCCATAATCAATTATCCTATGTGTTATTGGATTGTCTTGCTTGATGAGTCAAAGAAATCAAAGTCCAACATGTTGGAAGGATCTTAAAATTGGGTGGAGTTGTTTTAAAGTTAGAATACTTCATTCTATATGTTAAATTGAATGATCAGACAATTGTGTAAGAAAAAAAAGTTCAATTCTCTGTAAATCTGCTGATTGTGAAAGCTTGATTATTTTGGGAACAGTTTTATGGGGAAGCTGAGGGGACTTGCATGAAATGCAAGTCTTTCTTCACTTGAAATCTGTGGGACTTCATTGATATTTTTTGTCTCAACCGAAAAAGTAATGGAATTTATTGTATATGGATATTTAAAACTTTTTCTTTTGAGTAAGGAAATCTTTCTACCTGCTTCATCAGCAATTAAAGAAGATAGTGGATGATCTGCAAACAAATTTGGCTTTGGCAAAGGGTGAATACAAAACAGCCTTGAAGAACTTGGAGATGATCTCTGATGAGATTCATGAGAGGCGGCGAGCTTCATCAATGGGGCCCAGAGGATGTGGTGTTGGAGCTGAAGGCAATAGTACTTCAGCAGAAGACCTTTCAACATGCAAGTTAGATTCAGATAATGTTTCCAGTAAGTAATAGAAAAAGGCATAGAGATTTGGCCATGTCTATTTTTTTCAAAGGTTATATATCAGCAACTAAAAGCTGGTCAGAAAGTACCAGGTGTCAAGGAGCCAATTATAATTAATATAGTGCTAAAGTGATTTTCCCCCCTTTTTTTCCCAGTGCCGTTGTAACTTTATTTATTTATTTATTCAGGTAAATTTTCACTCATAAACATTTTTGAAAAACCGTATTGTCAGAGCATCATTTACAAATAGAACAAAACCAATGAAAGTTGATAGTAAATCTTAGCACACAAACTAATAGCAATAGGAATAATATAATAGCAGTAATAACAATATAACCAAAGTTTAAACTAGGTTTCTTCTTACATTACCTTATTTACATTTTTATCAATTACTATGTTTATAGTTATATACCTCTTTACTTTCAATACTTATATTAACATTCATAATCTTACTTTCTCTAATTTCTACCTCTTTTCTCTATCCATTCATATATTCCATGTCCGATAGTATTCTGAATCTTCTTTATCTTTAATTTTTAAAGTTAATTTGTCCATTTCAGCACAGTCCCAAATTTTTCTAATTACAACCTTGTCTGGTGGAATGTTCATATTTTCCCAGTATTTAGCATATGTAATCCTTGCTGCCGTCAGTATGTGTAACACTAAATATGTGGTCACTTTATCATAATCCTCTGATAGTATACCTAAAAGGCATGTTTCTGGTTTAAACTCAATATTTTGTTCAGTTATCATTTCCAGCCAGTTATGTGTGTTCTCCCAATATTTTCTTGCTTTACCGTATGTCCACCCAGTAGTGGGTTCCACTTATTTATTTATTTATTTATTGGTTCGATTTATATGCCGCCCTTTTCCGGAGACTCAGGGCGGCTTACAATGCGTTAAGCAATAGCCTTCATACTTTTGTATATACCTGCTTAGTAGGGCTTTCCCCCCCTCCCAAGCGGTGTTCTTTTTTATACAAAGTCAGCTTATTGCCCCCACAAACCAGGTCCTCATTTTACCTACCTTCGAAAGGATGGAAGGCTGAGTCAACCTTGAGCCTGGTGAGATTTGAACTTGCAGTAATTGCAGGCAGCTGGTGTTATCTTAACAGTGCTTTAGTCTGCTGTGCCACCAAGGCTCTATCACTTACATAAGCTACCGGTTTGGAACTGTGAGTGTGCGTGTGTGTGAGTGTGCATGATGATATCCAGGCAGGTGGGCGGAGCCTCCCATTGCCACCATTACTGGTTCACCTGAACCGGGGCGAACTGGTAGAAACTCACCACTGTGTCCACCACATGTGGGAATAGGTGCCTGGGGTTTGGTTGCTTTTCCAGCATTTGGCAGATAGTTTGCTGAACATTTTTGCCAGTCTTGCAGGTGGTAAATGCCACCTGTAAAACATCTTAGAGATTTTCTTTGTATGCTGAGGCCATAGTCAATTCATAATTTCTGTCCCAAAGTTTTTGCGATTTTTCTAATTCTATATTATAACCGAAATTTTTTGCCCAAGCAATCATTGTTTCTTTAACGATTTCTTCCTCCACTTTGTAGTTCAGTAAATAATTATATATTTTTTAAATCAGTTTTTCATCCGTCCCCATTAAAATTTCCATCCCCAAAGTGATTTTCAATTTACCAAACAATTTTTCCATTTCCATGTTACTTTAAAATTTCTTTTTGAGGTGTGGTTGAAATCGATAGTTGTGAGAAAGTGTTGTTTTTACTTTTTCTGTTATGCAACTGTCTTGCTTCTCATATTTTGAATCTGATAAAAGTCCTTTGGGAGGACTCATGGGAATTTCTCAGATTTAGTAGAAATAGGACAAATCAGGAAACTAGAAATCCCAGGAGAGATGATTGTACCATGAAAAATAGGACAAGCAGCATTCTCAACTTTGTTGTAATAATAGTAAAATTTTGCCAAATCTATTTTCAATTTTGACTTTGTTAAAAAAAAGTTTCTTAAAAAAAAACACACAAAATGGTTTAAAACAGGTATTAAAAATATTTAGCACAACTATCTATCTATGAAAACGAGAGTTGGTTTCATAGGAGCCATAGTGGCACAATGATTAGAATGCAGTATTGCAGGCTAATTCTGCCCACTGTTAGGTGTTTGATCCTGACCAGCTCAAGGTTGACACAGCCATCCATCCTTTCGAGGTGAGTAAAATGAGGGCTCCCAGATTGTTGGGGGCAATATGCTGACTCTGTAAACTGCTTAGGGAGACCGTAAACCACTATGAACTGGTATATCAGTAAGTTTTGTTGCTATAGTGGTAAAGGCATGAGGTTAGAAACTAGTAGACCATGAGTTCTCTGTAAAACAGGCATTATAGTCTGGCTTGGGACACTGGACATGGCTAATATTTTGAAAATGAATGAAATGAAGGGCAGGCTTTTAATATTTATCATTCTGTAACTGAACTTTTTCAATCAAAATGACATGACATAAACATGAGTGCGAATGTAGCTTATTTTTATGACAGTTCGCTTTTTAAAAAAGTGCTGTTGCTGTGAGGCAGCTGCTGCAAGCGCCCCACACTGGCTTACCCAGGGTCCCTGCAGCCAGGCCACCCACTCCCCAACACCTGCCTCGCCTTGCAGCAGTGACTCTTGGAGCTCCATCCAGGACCCTGTGTGGCCACTGGCCCACTTCTTCTGCTTGCTCGTGGCCACAATGGAGTAGGAGACCAAGCGATGCACCAGTGCCGCAGCCACAAGGTGAGGCAGGGGTTGGGCATGGGTGGCTTGGCTGCGGGGGCCCTCAGGTAAGCCATGTGGAGTGCGTGGGGCAGTTCCAGCCCCACCTCGCCTTGTGGCTGTGGCTTTGAAAGCGACCAGATGGAATGGGTGGCCAGACGACTGTGCAGGCTCTTAAGTAGGACTTTTTTGGGGGGGGGGGGGCTTATATTAGGTGCATGTGTAAAACATGCTAGGTCTTATTTTTGGGATAGATTTTATTGGGGGGGGAAACAGGATACTACTCATTAATATAATGCTGAGAATAAACAATAGTTAATTGCAGTGGTTTGGGATGGGGGAACAGAAGTCCTAAACAGGAAAATAATGCTGAATTTTGTTTTGTTTTGATCCAAGTTAAGAATTGTATTACGCTCAATTAGTTGTGATTGAGATAAGCTTGTTCATTCTTTAATTAATTAATGCCAATTAATTTTTTTGAACATTTTCACAGTGGCATCAGAAGTATTTGAGGATGACAACTGCAGCAGCTTTGTGTCTGAAGAAGACTCTGAAACTCAGTCTCTATCTAGTTTCAGTTCTGGTCCAACAAGCCCTTTTGATATACCAGCTCAGTTTCTTCCAATGACTCGACCTAAAAGCTTGGATTTGTCTAGCCCTATATCACTATCTGAATTTGGTGCATTTCCTCTATTAGGACCTCGCAGTGAATGTAGTGGGGCATCCTCTCCTGAATGTGAAATTGAAAGAGGTAAGTTAGATTGATGAAGGCAAAGTTCAATACAAGACAGGGAATGGCTAAGGACAAACAGTTCAGATGTGAGATACATAACTTTGGGAACAGTATATGCTGTTTTGTTGCCATGTTTCAAAAGGATACTGTAGATATAGTGAAAGTCAGAAAAGGGAACAAAATGATCTAGAAGTTTTGAAGAAAGGTGATAACTTTACCTGCATTTTGTAACATACAACTTCTCAACCAGATCTGCACTAAAAAGCATAAAGCCTTGTCCCAAAAGTGCTTTTTCAGGAGGCAACTGGATTTGCTTATTTCTTCTTTGAAGACGTTTCACTTCTCATCCAAGAAGCTTCTTCAGGTCTGACAGGATAATGGGAAATGGAAGAATTTATATTGCTTGCAGACAGCTGGTAATTTGTATCCTTTTAGAGGGCAGTTGAAGACTTGGAGGCTTATCTGTCTCCTCAGGGTCACCTGAATAGTGCTCCTGGTTTCTGTAGTCTGCAATTTTTCTCTGAAAATCCATTCCTACTCCCACACCATTAAAAGGGTGTTCATCCCAAATTGTATAGCTAAAAGTCTGTAAAGATTCTCAGTCATCCAGCACCCAAAGATGCTTTTTTTCACTCGTTGCCTCCTGAAAATGCACCTTTAGGACAACCATGACCTGGATGACTGAGAATCTCTACAAACTTTTAGCTATACAGACTTTTAGCTATACAATTTGGGATGAACACCCTTTGAATGGTGTGGGAGTAGGAATGGATTTTCAGAGGAAAAATTGTAGACTACAGGAGCCAGGAGCACTATTTACGTGATCCTAAGGACACAGATAAACCTCCAAGTGCTTCAACAACCCACTAAAAGGATGCAAATGACCAGCTGTCTGCAAGGAGTATATATTCTTCCATTCCCCACTATCCTGTCAGACCTGAAGAAATTTCTTGGATGATAAGCAAAACATCTTCAAAAGAAAAAATCAGAAAGTCCAATTGCCTCCTGAAAAAGCACCTTTGGGACAACTATGACCTGGATGACTGAGAATCTCTACAGACCTAAAGCCTTGTAGTAAAATGTATGATTTTGTGGCCATTGGATACAGTGGAATCAAGATTGATAGGATTTATAGTTTATTCCAAATTTTCCAAGTTTAATGATTAATTAAAGATCTTTTGGTGCTGGATTCAGAGGCACACATACTTTGTAAGCTGAATATGAATCCAACCCAAGTTATGATTATATTGTGGAATTTTACCCTTGTTTTATAGTCCGAAGCTGCAAAATCTTTCCATCTCATTTTTACAGGAGACAGGGCAGAAGGAGCTGAGAACAAGATACTTGACAGAGTGAACAAGAACAAGAGTGTAGGCAGCAGCTCTTCTTCTAGTGGCCCAGTGCTGGACAATCAGTTGAAGCAACTTTCCTTACAATGCCTGAAAGTCAAGGATGGAGTTTGTGCAGACAAACAAATAGTACAAATTGGGTGAAGTAACATCCATGGGCTAATGAGGAGTTAATTTATTTATACACAAATGTTTTCTGATTGTCAGAACCTTGTGCCAACAAGTAATATGTGCCAAATTTTTAACTCTTAACTGCACAATAAAAGCTTACATAATTGCTGAGGGCTAAAATATGTGCATTGAAATATGTAACAGAAATCTTGGTCAGGACAGAAATTGTAAAGGACAGAAATACCAACCCTTAAGATATTTTGTAATAGTTTGGAAGAAGCAAGAGCTAACATGAATCCTCTGTGACGTTTAGGGCATTCTGGCAGTCAGAGCAAAGCCAGGTTGGGAGGATTAGCTGTTATCTTGTTTGTAATTTGAGCTGCTGTTTAATGCCATAAAATTCCAGGATGCTAGCAGCATACCCATTGAAATACCTTATATTGTGTTTGGGTTACCAAAGGAAGCTGCTGCATGTAACAGAATTTAAGAATTCAGTCTTGCTATAGATTCATGAGTGGTGATACATTATACCTCAAAGGTAATCAAAATGTTAATACTGGTGCACAGGATCCCTTTAGCTTTTTAAATGGGGAGAGGATGGAGATAGGACGTAGTTTTGATTTATATATATTATGATCAAAATGAAATGGTCAGTGAAAACATTAATGCAGGATACCACTTTGTTGTGAAGTACCAATCATGATAATCACCAAGCATAGACAGGAAGATTCTCCCACATCCCATCAACTAAAAAAGAGAAATGTGCATGAATGGAATAGTTGCCATAGCATTGATATGGGGAACATTTTCTAGTATTTCTGCATTATAAAGTATAGCATTTCAGGAGTAGTTAAAAAGAGTTAGAAGTTAGTATTCTTTACGTAAAAATATAAATAAGATGGAAAGGAAGCTGAAGCATGTAAGCCACAGCTAGTAGAAATTGGAATTTATGCTAGTAAGAAATATTTAAAAGCATAAAGTTGCTTTAGTAAACTAGTTAACTAGCAGTTAACATTTCTAAAAATTGGCCTAGGTCATCTTTAATGAACGTATTTTTTGAGCATTACTGATTAGCAATAACCCTTTCAGTATTTTTTAAAAATTGGCTTAATTTTGTTTTATTTTGTCAATGTTATGTGTATATTCTTAAAACAAATGTAAAGATTATTTCACACGAAGTCTCCTCTGCCCTTTTTGTTTTCATGTGTAATATGGTTATTTTTAATCTTTACAACTTCATTCTTCAAATATATATATGTTTTCCATATATGTTTTGGTTATACTTTGGCTGAGGATCTTTGCAAGGAACAATTGAAATGGTAATAATAAAATGACAACTAGAAATGTTAGTAGTAAGTCTGTGTCTGTGTATAGGTACTACCTGTAATAAAATTCAAAGTTTAGGGATTACCTTTATAAAAACTATGAGATACAAAATTAAACAGTTTTGTTTCATGAATGTTATGAGTCAGTAATTTTTCTGTAGTAAATTCTGACCCTTACACATTACCAGCAATTGTCAACATTCTAGTTAAGGGAGAAGTGGCTATTTTCTATGTTTGCTGATCTGCTATAAAGACCTGTAGGGTTACACTACAGAACGTATTGTACTTTTTTGTACCCTTCCCATTTTATTTGCAGTACATTGGCTGATAAAGCCATTCTAAAGTGTTTTATGGTAGAAAACTTTTAAAATGGCTCTATCAGCTGATGCACTGCAAATAAAATGGAAAGGGCACAAAAAAGTACAATAAATTCTGTAGTGTAACCCTATTTCAATGGAACCACTTGAGATAATTTCTGTTGCAGATAGCTGAAATGGTAGATCTTCTTCCTGTAGGACAACATAGCTAGTAAGGGGCAGGGGAAGAGTTAATTGTAGGACTTAAGTGTGCCTTCTCAATGACTATGTCCATAAGTAAATCATGTTGGCAGGCTAAGTTCAAATGTAAGGGAAAAGATTATTCAATTTTTGTACCATTCATAGATTTTCATACTCTGAAAATCTAGTTTGTTTGACTGATGGCGCTAGCAATAATGTAGAGCTTGACTCATAAACTTGGTTACTAATAGTTTTGTTCTAGTTGATGAAGCATTCTGCCCCACAATTTGCATGGCTTTGATGCTGGCATTTTCCCTAAATTTGTTACTCAGCTTCATTAGAAAGGCTGAGAACCGATTTGCAGTATCCCCGATTATTTCCTATTGTCCAAATCAATTAAATCTTACTTTATGTATCTATGAAATATTAAGATAATCTTTATTGTCATTTTTTATACTGGCACACATTAAAAATGAAATTTTGTTGCCTACTCTCACTATAGGCACATTATAAAGAGTTATCATTTATATGTGTATTGGGCAGACAAAATGTATTTACATACAAAAGTTCATAGGCAATTCATGAGACGCATGGAAAATTGATGTTCTGTGGAATAGCCCTAATTCATCCTTAAATCAGTTATAGTGTTCTTTATTTGTTTACTGACTTAACAACTCAAGGTCTGCCTATATAACACAATTAATGACAATCTCATTAATTAGTTTTTGAAAAGGAGTAAAAGCATGGCTTTGTGGCCTTGCGTGAGGAGCCAGAAGGAGCATGCAGTCATGAAGTTGATAAGTGCCGTGGGAGCCCTCCCTTTAATCAACTTTTAACATCCATAGTGCTGATCTGTTTAAAGTTCACTTCTAGGAAGCTGCACTCATTGTTAAGAAATCTCTTGCTTGGTGGAGCATGGCTGGTGTTTGGGCTGTTGAAAGGGAAAAGGCTTGGTTGTGCTATGAAGTCCTATCTTGCAACTATCTTCAAAGATTTAAGGCTTTCTTTTATTGGAGACGCAAGGTTCTTAATAAATTTGCCTAACCAAACTTGTGTTTCATTTTAATGTTTAAAAATATTGACCACTCCTAACTAAACTTAGATTTAAAATGAAGTTTATATTGGAGACAGTTTGATTTAATCTTTCTGTCCAATCAGAAGACTGATGCACAGAAAGTTTACTTTGGTTTTAAGGGCCCAAGGGAAAGCTCTGAAAAATGATATTATTCTTTTGCATAGATAAAATCAAGCTAAGAATAATTAATCAGATATACCAGCATACTTATCATTGAAATATACAACAAAAAGACCTTGGCTATCTAGTTTACTTCACAGAATTACATCTGTTTCACCTGTTTTATAAATTTAAGAAACCAAATAGGCTCTCGGTTTGAGCAGCACCAGGGCCAAGAGGTAAAGAGGCTCACCTCCTACTTGGAAGGTTGAGGGTTCAATCCTAGGTAGCGGCAGATGTTTATCAGGACACAGAAAAAATATCTGCTGTGAACTCCACATAGGTGTCAGGAAGGGCATATGGTCAGTAAGCGCCCAGCTCCACTCCTTCACCCCGACTCCAGGGATTAAAAGAGGAAAAAATGGGCTCTGGGCTAGTTTTCTGTAATCCCATCCATCCAACCATTCACACAGTAATATATTTCTCTGTGAACTCTACACATGTAACAAGTACTGTTGATGGTGTAGAAGACTCATTATTTCTCAAGGTGTTGGGGAAATCGGCTATAATAGCAAGAGTTCAAGTGTTTAGGTATAGTTTTAATACAATTGAATTTCTGGTGTGAAACTATATTGGAGGATTTTATAACAGAGCTCATGAAATAAAAACTGGAAATGAGTTTTAGTCTAAAGATGCAGTTTTTAACTCAAAGAAAATATATCAGTCATGCCCTATACTTTGACAAACATGTATGATAAATCAAGAACCAAGATCTATAAAGTATGCCATAGATTTATAGATTCTTTATATCCAATTCTTTCAACCCTTGTATGAAGATAGTTGTGGCCACCAAGCAGTGATAGATAAGCATCAATTTTACTCCATCCTCAGATAAATCAGCTGATACTGTACTCAACAAGGCAGTAGGAAAAATGGCTATTTTTCTGGTTATTCGGGTTTTCTCCAGCGTAAAATTGGAAGTGTCTTGGCGACATTTTGACGAAGTCTCATTCGTCATCTTCAGGCTGGTGTTTTCGGCTTCGTGCTTCTAGGAGCAATGTGTGATCGCAGCTGTTTCTTCCTTTTAACTGCCAGTGGGGGTGTGAACTGATTGGGTGGAAGCTTGCTGTGTTCTGATTGGGTGGAGGTGTGTTCTGATTGGTTCGGGGTTTGGCTATGCTCTGACTGGATGGGGGGTTGGCTGTACTCTGATTGGATGGGGGTGTGTTCTGTTTAGGTGGGGGCTTGGTTGTGCTTGGGTTAGTCTGAGTTGCAGGGGGATTTGAGCTGGTGAGCTGCATTGCTGTTGTTTGGCATTGCGTTCGTGGTCGTGCCACATCTTCATGGTGGGTGTCAGTTTGCTTCATGTATGGATTGGAGGGGTTTAAAGTGGCTAATGATGCAGCTGTGGTCTGGTTTCTGGTTTGTGGTCGTGCCTCATCAGTGTGGGTTTGCTTTTTGCATGGATGTGTGGTGGTGACATCCTGTATGGTTTTCGTGAGTGTGGGTCTGGTGTCATTCTTTATGTTAGGGACTCGTTTGTCAATGAGGGCGGGTTTCCAAATGGCTGTTAGGCTTCGTCGAATGAGACTTCGTCGAAACGGCGCCAAGACACTTGCAATTTTATAACCAAAGACCTACATACAAACACCCGCGAAAACCTCAGAAAACACACACACACACACACACACACACACACACACACACACACATATATGTCCAATTTTGTATAAACAAAGCCATGCAAAATATCAGGGTACATGAGCAAATCTTTTTGCTTGCCTCAACTTTGCCACAGCACAAATAACAGAAATCCATGTTTTCCACTGTTCTGCAAACCATGAAGATTAGGCAGCTCTAATTTTGAGTGTAATTCGTCTTATGACAGTCCACATTCCCTTTCTGTATCCCACATAAACATTTTCTCAGTAGGTTCTTAGAGAGTTCTTCAGTGTGACAGCTATATTTTGCCATTTTTATTAAAAATGGTTTTGCAGGTAACCTCATTGCAGCTGTGATGTTTTAAGAGGGATAGCAGTATTGAAGTCCAAGAAAAATGGTCCTTCTTGTTGTGGGAGGAAAGTGCTTGGAATAATATTGTAAGTACCAGGAGATATATTCTCAATTTCCAGATAGCAAAAGCCACACCTTGGAAAGTGAAATATAGAGAAAAGGCTACTGTAATATAAGATTTCATATGATAGTGACCAAATATGCAGAAATCAGATGAGCTATTACCTGTAATCACCACTATTTTTCTTCTGAAAACCCAAAGATCCCGGATCTCCTATTAAAGAGACTGTTACAACTTCAAGTCCAACACTGTACTGCCTATAAATGAATCACAAGTTGGAAGCTTCTGAGTTTAAAGTAAAATTAGAACTTTTAAAAAGTGGTGTATGATTCCATCTGGATCCATATTTGATCCACAGTTTGTGCCAAGTCATAACAGTGTTTAACTTCTCCCAAAGGTGCCATGCAAATCTAGTCACTGAAGTCTGTAATATTTGTTTATGGATTAATGTGATGTATAAAGGCAGCCTCAGAGTTCGAGGTTGAGCTCAGAATGTGAACATGATAAACAACAATTCTTTTAAAAATTACTATTTAGTTCTAATTGCTGACAATATGGGCTGAAAATTATAGATAGTATAATTTAATTCTAACTAGTTAATTTAAATATTTTTAAATCTGAAACTGCAAGTCTTACCTGTAAGTAGTTAACTGTATTGTTCCAATTATTAAACACTATACAAACCTTGGTCCTCTTAGTTCAAGCAGGAGTGGCCCAGTCTTGTCCACTTGAAACTGGTATATAGGGTTATTCTTGCAAGTATCTCTAAAATTTCCACATCCTCCAGCGCTGCGACCTTTCCACTGTCCATTCACCTGAAAGAAAATCACTCCAAAAGCTTCTTAGCCAGCACATCTGTTTTCTTCTTTCTTAAAAAAACTACTTTCAATTTAATTTCATCTGTCCTATTTAATCAAGCCTCATTATTCATTTCAAAGATAAAGTGGAGAATGTGGAAATTTTAGAGATACTTGCAAGAATAACCAAAAATCACTTAATGAATGTCTCAATTAACAACAAATGTTGGGCTCAATTGTGATCATAAGTCGAGGACTATCTTACCTACATTTAAGGACACAAGAATAAATGTTCCAGAAAGGGGAATTGGATTTGAATCAGCAACACAACATTTTTCTGATTATCGGGCTCCTTTCTAGCTCATATCTCTGTATAATCTGGCTGTAATAATACATCAGAAACAAACTGTGAGGGATCATTTAATTTTGGGAAAAGGATATGGAAGCCTACCACGTTTCCCTGAAAATAAGACCCCGTCTTGTATTTTTTTGAACCCTGAAATAAGCGCTTGGCCTTATCGCCATGCGCTCAAAAGCCCAATTGAGCTTATAATATCAGGGCATGTCTTATTTTGGGGGAAAAAGGGTATTTACTGTGGCTTAATGAGAAAACTACTATGCCTTATAGTAGTTTTCTCTCAACCTGGTGACCACTATATTTGTTGGGACCAGAATTTTCAGCCAGTGAGCTATTCTAAGAGTCTTAAAGGTTCTCCTGTTTGGAGGCAGTCCAAGAGAGATCTGAGCCATTCTGACTAACACAGGATTTCAAAGGTTGTTTGCAATTACATTATATCCATGCTATTAAAATTGGATAAACAATTCCAGTCATGCAATCAAATGTTCTTTTAACTACCATGCATCCCAGTACATCTGAACATTAGGAACGGCTTTTCTATTCAATCTAATCCAAGGAGTAGTTAATGCAATATTATGTAATAAAAACCCACAAAAGAAAGCTGCAAGAAATATTTATCTTACTTTGCATGACTATAGATAACTAACATTTATATAATTTGGTTTCTGTAACATATAGTAGCTAAATTTTAACTACAAAATTTAATTATTTCTTACTCTTTTTGATACAGCATATGGTGTTGGAATCTTAGAAAAGGTAAACTTGCAGGCTGAATACACCTAAGATCAAGAAGAAATTAATCTTTAACCCAGAATGATTCATACTATCAAGAAAAAGAAAACAAGAGAAAACTGGAACTGAATGGAACTATACAATTTTAATTTCTTCTCACTGAACAGCCATATAATTATATAGTTTTTGTGCAAATATTAACTTTCTGAAATATATTTATATAATTTTTTTTATGAAGACCTGAAAATAATGGGAAAACCTTATTTTTAAAGTAAACATAATACTCATAAAAATAATATTTCAGAGGACACTGGCTATTTTGGATCCATGACAGCTAAATCAATAATAAATTTTTATCTGTAGTAATCTTCTTCTGGTAGTCTAGATCCCCTAGTGCCCAACATAGTTATGACCTACTTTTTATGCAAAGGAAGTAATTACCTGAAATAAAACTACTTGATGAAACAGAATTACAGATGGAAATTCTCCTTCTTAAAATTGGCAGTAGGATTTTAAGTATCCCTGAGATACAAAAATTCCTGTATCTCCTATCCATAATCCTTTATTTGGCAATATTTTCATGCAATTTAAACTTGTGGCATTTCTCATATGTTCAGATTACAGAGCCCAAAGAAATGAAAACAAAGTTACTGTGGATACCTTAATCAGTGGCAGACAGATGGTCATTATCAAACTTATTACATACACATGATTTTTTCAGAATGGAGGTCATGGAAGTTGAAGATGTGGCAGTACTAATGATTTCCATTTAATATTTTTAAAAGATTACATATACACTTACCCTGAGGGTGTAATGAATTGTGTTCTGTTTTTCGTACTGAGAAACCACAAGTGTAAATGTGTGAGTTCCTGAAGAAGTGAGTGTTATTTTGGTTAGATAGTGGGGACTATTGATTCGAATCCCATCAATGTATGGTGGAGGATCAGCTGGGAAAAAAAAGCACATCTGTGTTTAAAGATAATTTAGAATAGACCAATGTGAAATTACTCTAATTAAAATGATTAATAAATTAATATTCTACTAGAGCACTATAGTGAAGCAACATAAATACAGCACTCTTAACATTCTAAAATAAATTCTCTGCACTAAAACATGGAGAGATAGGCAGATCTTACATTTCTAGTCCATATTTTCAATTCAAGAAATCAATGAAAATATATTTTAAGATGAATGAGTGAAGCTTTATGATCGCCATGGCATTAGTATTGGAACTCTGACCATTTTCTGTCCAATGTGCTGCTGTGGCCATCAACTTGCCTTTTTTGACATCCCTCTAGTCCAGGGATCTGCAACCTTAAACACTCAAAGAGCCATTTGGACCAGTCTCCCACTGAAAAGAAAACAATTGGAGCCAATAATTTAACAACCGGTGTGACTGAATGGACGTGGCCAACTCGACGTCACTCACTCCCACCCAGTCACATGATTCCCCCCCAGCCACGCCTATCGAGCCAGTCATTATGGCAGAGAACCGGTTGTTAAATTATTTGCCCTGCCCAGCCCTGCCTCACCCCTCCTTGTCACACCTAGCCTGAATGTGTTGTTCGCCTTTTTTTCTCTCTCTCTATGTCTGTCTCTCTCTGTCTCTTTGCCCCCCCTCTCTGTCTCTTTGCCCCCCTCTCTCTCTGTTTCTCTCTCTCTCTGTTTCTCTCTCTTCTCTCTCTGTCTCTGTGTCTCTGTCTCTTGTCTTTCTCTCTTTCTGACACTGATGCTGTTGCCAGGAGTGAGTGGAGCAGGGTCGCATTGTGGCTCCGCATTGTAATGGGCTCCAGGAGGAGGAGGGGACCTCGTCTTCCCCATTGTGAAGCGTGCTAAATTTCATTGTGCTGTGTAAGGCGCTGTGAGAGCAGCGGGCAGGCCATAGAGGTGGCAACAGCTCCGAGGCCGAAACGGCTTACAACTCCGAGATGAAAGCAGTGGGAGATGAGGACCGCCTTGAACGCAAATATACCACGATGAAGACAGAATGATGTTGCTGCACAAAGGAAAGTACAGGGGCGCTTTGCTCCCTCTCTGGAATATGGAGCGAGTCTGACAGGGAGCCGCAGCAGAGGGCCGAAAGAACCGGATGAGGCTCCAGAGCCACGGGTTGCTAACCCCTGCTCTAGTCCTAGTGGATGCTGTGGTTAGCAAACATATTTCTCACAGAAAAGTTATATCCACATTGCCTATCTTTCTTCAACAACAAATCAAGAAGAAAGGAAAGTTGTAGGAAAGATTATGTGCAGGAAAGAAAATTGTGATATACGTACCAGGGTAATATACCTTTTTCCCTTCAGTTTTATAGACCACCATTGTAATGAATTCTCGGTTGTGTGCAAAGTCATCCTATAGAAAAGTGATGGCAAAAATTACTTTAATCCTCAAAACCAAATATTTATATACTATTTATGACTACGATTTCATTCAACATTCTTCCTTGTCTAAATTATAATTGTTTCAGACAGGGGTGAAATGTAAAATTTTTTGCTACCAGTTCTGTGGGCGTGGCTTGATGGGCATGGCTTGGTGGTCATGTGACTGGGTGGTCATGGCCAACTAGATGTCACTCACTGTTAGAGCCAGGAGCGCATTGCCTCCCCCCTCCTTCCACCAATTTTCCATACAAACTGCCCACCCCGTATCTGCAAAGGCAGAGCCCCCTCCCCTGCAGAGCGATCCAAAGAGGGGAGGGGGATGCTGCAGAAAAGGCTGCCTTCCACCCGTGCCGGCTCTGCAGGGCTTGGGGCTCCAAAGCAGCCCACTGGATTCCCACCCCGCCACCTGCCTGCCAGCGCCAATCTGGGAACTCGGCCCGCGGAGTCCAGCACTCCAGGGGAAGGAGGCACAGCCACGGTGGCACTTCCTGGCAACGAAGTAGAGTGAAAGGGGCAGAAGCCACCGGCGGGGCACAACCCCCCCTCCATGCAGGGAGAGGGCCAGGCCCAGCCACCCCACTACAGAGCCCGCGGCACTTTCCCTTCGGCCTGGGCACACTTGTATTCATGCGGCTGGCCAGAGCAGAGCATGGTGCGGGCGGACAGGCATATGCAGCTGCTGCCTGGCCAGCATCACCATGCCTCCACAGCAAGAGGCGCGCCAGTGCCGCCTTCCCCGTGTCCATTTGCTGAGCATGGAAGGGGCAGCTGCCACCACTGCTCTCACCACCCTCCCTGCCCACCTGACTGCAGATGTCCGCCTGCCAGAAGCAACCTCCCAAAGTAATCCGCCGCCGTTTGCTTTCGTTTTGCGGTGGGAGAAGGAAGAAAGCAAAAGGCGGTGGCGTAGTGGCACTCTGAGAGGGCAGGTGGGCCACGGACGTCCTGGGGCTGCTGCACATGCGCACATGCATGTGCCACATCCCCGCCTTTCACTTTCTTCTCCTGCTGCAAAACGAAAGCGAACAGTGGCAGGTTGCTTTGGGAGGACACACACACACACACACACACACACACACACACACACACACACACAGGCTTGGAACGGCAGTGCCCAGATACCTTCCGGGGCCTTTAAGAGCTCCTGAACGGACCCACTGCCCCAGAGCGGATCCGGGCGCTGCCATTCCGAGCCTCTGTGTGTGTGTGTGTGTGTGTGTGTGTGTGTGTGTCTTTGTTCCTGGTCTTTCGCAGCAGCCCATGCACGATGTCCCGTCCCCAGCTGCCCATCTTAAAGGCACCTCACTCCGCCCCTGCTGCCCCGGGAAGGGGAGTGGGCTCCTTGGCTGTTCCAGCTGCCCCAGAGACCCCTGCCTGGCCTGCCTGGGAGGCGCAACAGGTGAGGCGGTGGTTGCTCCCAGCAGGCTTGGAATGGCAGCGCCCAGATCCGCTCCGGGGCCTTTAAAAGCAGTGGAAATTGGCTGTCACGCCGCACAACCTCCATGGCAGCTCCCCCAAGCAGACCCATCGCCCAAGGAGTGCGATCTGGGGGCAGCTTCAGCCAGTCCGGCCCGGGAAAGGCCAGAAGGGGTGAATTCCCAAACTCTGGTTAAGCCGGCCGGGGACAAGACATCAGACACTGGCTGCTACGAAAGACCAGGAGCAAACACATACACAACCCGCGCACACATCGGTACTGGTGAGGTTTTTAGCAAGCAGCGCGGGAAGCCAGACTTGCCTTCATAAGTACGAAAACTTCCTACAAATGAAGAAACGGCAGGAGCAAGCAAGCGCTTCTTTTTGCACTTGCTCCTAGCGTTTTTCCACTTGGACAGGAGGAGGAGAAAGAAGAAGACGAGGGCGACAATCCCGGGCGTGTGAAGCAAGGCATGAAAATCCACAACAGGAAGCTCAGGGTGAGTGAAAAGGGGGAGCAGCCGAGCGCTTTGTTTCTCCGGAACCAGTAGAAAAAAATGCTTAAAAAGTAAAAAAAAAAAAAAAAAAAAGTTCCCACGATCGCACATCACTCAGCTGATTGTAGGAACTTTTTTTTTAACTTTTTAAGCATTTTTTACTACCGGTTCTCTGGAAGTAAAAGCAGAAAGTAACGACTGGGTGGGTGGGCAGAGCCTCGGGTTGCCATTGCTATTGGTTCTCCGAACCACCGGCCATCATCACTACCTACTCGCCCGAGCCAGTCCAAACTGGGAGCATTTCACCCCTGGTTTCAGACCTTCCAAAGCAAGCAGACTCCTCATATCTACTGTAACTATCTCTGAATTTATTGGACTTCAGCTTCCATAATTGCCAGACATTAGAGCTAAATGCTGGAAACTAGTAGCCCAACTGATCTGGGATATACCTGATTAATGGATTGCAAATTCTCAATAGGAAAAATGTTTCTTCGTTTTAAATAAGCTTTCTTTTTACAGGATAAATATTAATGCCAAATCTTTATCAACCGCCACTGAATCTGAAATGAGATAAAACCTGGTTATCCTTGTGGGGATAGAAGGCTAAAGAATCCCAGTTTCTTCTTTCTGCTTATGTCTAGTTTACAAAGCAGTTAGTGAACTATTACTGTAACTGGACACAGTGTTGTGTGATCAGGCATAAGAACACAGCAACTTGTGGAAAGTGGAGATATACATCTAATATGTTTTTTATATTTGAGCTATGCTTCTGGTAGTTCAATTGTCATAAGGAACACCTGTATCTTAGATCTGCATTTTGTTTCCCTTACAAGTTATTTGGAAAAATGATGAATACCTTGTCAGTAATGTGTCGACTGAGTAGAACCCAAACTGCAGCACCACCTTGTGGGCACTGAATCTCCAGTCTGTACTGTGGATTATTAGCCAAACTGTAAGCATCTTTCACAGGACCCTGTTTTGCATCCCAGGTACTGTTCAGGAAAGAGAAAAGTGGAAAAAGAGTTCTGTGTATTTAAAAAAATTGCAATCAACATTTATACCGTTTCCCCCAAAGACATCATCCGATAATAAGCCCAATCGGGCTTTTGAGCACATGGCAGTAAGGCCAAGTGCTTATTTCAGGGTTCAAAAAAATATAAGGTCTTATTTTGGGGGAAACACAGTAATTACTTTTCATGAAAGCTACCATTTGCTCTCAATTTGGTCTTGCAAATTGGCATGAAATACTAGGGAGAAATAATAAAGCAAAAACAGCTGCAGATGTACAAGTCTTAGCTTATAAATGCTCAAAAAAGTGTCACTTTTCAACAGTTTATACATGAATCATTTATTCTTGGATCAGGCTTCAAAATGTAAAGAAAGGCACCACAGATTAATACTTGAATATTAGACTAAGGGAGGCTAATAACATGCCTGCTGCTTCCATCTCTACACTCTGCAATAAGTATACAAGAAGAATAAGCATTTTATATCCTTTTCTATTGGACAAACCTGTGAATGCAGGTGGATTCCTTAAAAAGAGCTGGATTCCAACTCAAATAAATAACATCATAATACTTGTATAAATCTTCCCAAGCAATCCAGAAAATTCCTATATAAAAACATGCAGATAAAACTCTTTTAATTATTTTTACCAATGACTTATCATCCAATACCAGTGATTGAATATTAAATTATCAAATGGTAGGAAAAAAGGACTAAAGATACTACAATCTTGGACATTTTTACTCAAAGATAAGTTCTGCAGAATTCAATGAAGCTAACTCCCAGAATGTATGCACACTATTGCAAGACTGTATTATATATTAGTACTGAGAAGTTCCTAAATCAAAGTAGCCTACAATTTCCCACCTATTCAAAAGTGGCAATAGATTTCAGTTTAGTACTTAAATACTATGCATTTCAGTATTTGTTTTGTTTTTACAATTGCAGAAATTATCTGTAAAGTAATTTTATCAAGATCTTTTAAAACTGATGAGCACAGATTCCAATTTTTAATAAAGCAAAATTCATCATTTATTTCTTGCATTGTGTTATTTCCTACATTTATATTTCACCCTAAATCTGAGAGATTAGCAAGTATATATTAGGATGAACGAAAGCAGGGCTAAATCACACATAAGTTTGATAAAAGATAAATGATAAAATAAGCTACACTAGCTCTCACTTACTACCTTCCCTCTGCCAAATCTAAAATGCCCAGTGGAGGTGCTTAACTTCACCCACCCAATCAACAACTTTATCCGGATAAAACTTTCATTTGGAATTACAATTTCTTATTCACAATTACTCCAATGTTAATGTCGCTACTTCAGTGGTATTTATCTCCGTTAAATATGCACTAGTCTGTATCATATGTCATTAACAGCCTTGGTCAATTTTAGTCCTGCAAGGGGATTCTAAACAGTTATCGAGCAGAAGATTCATTCAATGATTCAGACAACTCTGCTTTACTGTCTTGCATCCTTGATAGTAAACCTATTTCAAATTGATGAGAGATGTGATTCCTCTGCCATCTCTGCAGTTTTCCTCTTGGACCACAAAGGGGTACCAAAAGAAACAAATCATTTGTAGCCCTGTTTTTTTTTTCTCTTCAAAAACCATTCTGATCTTTTACCGTTGTCTATTTTTTGAGCTGTTCTGGGATCAAAGTTTAAGTATTTCTGAAGTTCAGGAGTCCAGCTTTTGTTATCATTTTCACTGTATCTCCCTTTCCAACGTAGGTGGCTCCAGGGATTTTTCAACTGGAGGAAGCGAAAACCCTGAAAAAGAGGAGACACAAAATATGACTTTATAATACATTTCTTTTTGAGAATAAAGAAAACAAGTTAAATGTCATTAATTTTATTAATCATGGATTACAATAGATATCTACCTTGTTTCTCTCTCTGCCATTTACAGTAATTCCTAAAATGACCTGGTAAAATCAGATTTTTAATAGCATTATATTGCAATATCTGAAATAAGCCACTCTTTGTATTTGAAAGAATTCAACCACCACAGATGAGAAGGGCTATGGAGAAGTCATGTGAGGGATATGGAGAGGACACATGATATCACAAAAAGCAGGAGTGATGTTTTTAAGATTTTTCTTTTTATGTTCAGGTTTTTTTAAGGACATTCAGTATATCAAAACAACTTGAGGTTTATTTTGTTTCTAAGAAGTACTGAAAATCTATGAACCTTTTTCACCAAATTTCAGGGATGAGATGGGAAAGAGGGCTCCAATGGCTTCAAAGAAAGAACTAAGGTTCTTTCTATGGACTTGTTTACCTCTTTAACATTATTCCATTATTTTAAGCATTTTAATCCCACTTTGGGACCAAAAAGATGAATTGGACAGATTTTTCAAAGTTTTTCTTCCCCTCAGTTTTCGAGTAGTGGTACAAGAGATCAGATTAAAAAAAAAAAAAAAAAGTAAACCATGTCAATTTAAGAATAGGTCCAAAGGTTCTTATTTCAGAGTTACCTTGTATTCTCTAATATCCAAAACGGCATAGGCGTGGGTTGGTACTAAACCCCAACGTTCCCCTTCTTCCTCAGTCATCACTCCTGTAGCTGTTGTGATAAGCACATCCCCCTTGTGAAATCTGGCCAAGAACAAAAAGTTTACTTCAGACTTGGCTGCTAATGTTTCCCCATGCAATGCTTGCCTGTTTAATTTTCTAAAGGAAAAAAAACACCACATATAGTATTTTGGAAAATATAACTACATGTTGGCAGAACTGATGTTCCAAAAAATTCTAGGAAATAATGGGGCAATTTTCAACCTCTGGGCAGCAGCCCAATTCCCCCCCCCCCCGGCCAGGCCATCAAGTTACAAAGATTGGGAACTACTGCATTATGTCAATCCATGACAATTGAATCCTGGAATATTAAACATAACACCCCTTTAACTTTACACTTGGAATTGGATTCTTTGATCCTGTTTATAATTCTGCCTCACACTGTCCCATAGATGTTACTTTCAAGACTACATCTCTGGGTCTTGGCTCCCATATATCTCTCCAAAATGGGGAACCACCAGCTGCTTTTCTCATAAAGATAGAATTAGTCAGGCCAGTTCTAGTGGAACAACATAATCATGAAGATAACTTGGAGTCAAGATATAAACAGGTTTAAAATTAACACCAGTCACACCAACTACATGTAGAAGCCAAGAGAAAACCAATTCAAGGACCTGTACAAGTGCGGGTAAGTACAGGTATAATATACTCCACTGAATAACTGCAAGGTAATATGTGGGGTGCTGAATTTTAGGTCAACTGAGTGGTGATAGAGCCATGAGCCATTGCAGCCAGGTTTTCTCATTTGAGGTTGGGCCATAAATAGCACATTACATACAGCTTGACAAAGACTCCCTTGGCCATGGCTTCCATTTCCAGATTCAACAGAAACCACCAGTTCAGGAGGATTTCTGAGTTCCATTAGCAAGTACTTATGCACAGTCAGTTTCATTCTTCAACCATTTACTCTCTAGGCACTGCTTCTCTTGGAAGCTGTGCAAAAATCAGAGGCCACTATGGATTAAAAAAAACCAATCCTTGAACTTTTACAACACTGATTGTGACAACATTTTTGGAAATAAGCAAAAATTACCTTTGGTAAAGCATTCTAAAGGAACTATCCTTGTTAAATGTTTGATTGTCTGAGTGCATGGCAATCCTCTCAGGTATCCAACCAGTCAAAGCATGAAGATCAATATTCTATCATCACCAATAAAAAATGCATAATCCAGATTAATGAAATCCAGGAAACTACAGTTTTTGATAACCATACATTTCAATAATAATTCCACAGCTATGTAAAATCCATTTTTTCTCCAAAGCAGGCATATAAGGAAAACAGAATAGTAATCTTACATTTTATAATAGTTTTCAAATAAGAACTGTATTACATGAGTCAGTTCCTTTTTTCTTCTTTGTTGGATGGCAACTATAATGGTTCTTTGATAAAGAGATTACATTTAAAATGTGATTGTAATAAGGCCAAAAGGATTTCATCACACACACATGTGCACACACACAAACACACACATACTCTCAGAAGGAAATAAAATTTGTTTCTAGAATTTATTTTAAAGCTCAGTATTAGCTATCAAGAATATTTCTCATATTTGCAGAGGGCACCGAAATAATATGGTTAATTCCAAGATACATTATTTGCCATACTGAAAAAAGAAAGAAAACCATAAGAAAAAGTATATATTGTTCACAGGCTTCAAATAGATTAAAGTATTCTCACTACTCTGTGTACATTGAAGCATACTTTTCATGTTCAATCTTTCTCAACAAACTTTTTTGGGACTACAATATTTTTTATACTACAATTTTTTGTATTTTGTTTCTAATTTTACAATTTTAATTATAACTTTCTAACTTGCTTTTTTAATTTTAATTTTTAATTACAATTTTTGTAGTTTTTGCACTACAATCTTTTTGGAGTACAGTTTTATCATCCTTAACCTTGTTGACAGTTGCTCTCAAAATACTTGGGAGGCCAATTCAGTGAAAAAAACTGAACTAGATTAAAAGGAAAATTATCTCCTAAGGGACCTTTGCCAGCCTATTTTTTTCTAACATCTTGCCAAGAGTCACATAATACTCACCGAATTTGAACCTGGAAAATCATAACCTCCCATGACTTTCATGTAAGCTTTTTCTATCAATGATACCCAAAGCTCATTTTTGTTGTTTGAATAGGAGCAGAGAAGTCCTCCACTGTGATCTACTGGTAACAAATCATCAATGACTACCTGCTCAAAACAGATGGAACAAGATCAAACAATATGCAATGCAAAACTGCAACCATTATTCTTTTAGTAAAATCTTTGAGGAAATTACTACAAAGGAAGGTTTGCAGAAGCAAGCTACAAGACTGTTAGAAACCCAGTGGATGAAGGGATAGAGGTCTTGTAAGATAAAGGTAAAGGTTCCCCTCACATATACGTGCTAGTTATTCCCAACTCTAAGGGCGGTGCTCATCTCTGTTTCTAAGCCGAAGAGCCAGCGCTGTCTGATGACAATTCCGTGGTCATGTGGCTGGCATGACTAAACGCTGAAGGCACACGGAATGCTGTTACCTTCCCACCAAGGTGGTCCCTCTTTTTCTACTTTTTACGTCCTTTTAAACTACTAGGTTGACAGAAGCTGGGGCAAGTAATGGGAGTTCACTCTGTTATGCGTAACTAGGGATTCAAACCGTTGAACTGCTGACCTTTCTGATCGATAAGCTCAGTGACTTAGCCACTGAGCCACCACGTCCCCTTCGGGGTTTGTACAACTTGTTAAAAGTTTAAATCTCTACCTTTCTAGGGACACCATTGATGTGCAGCTTGACCATGTATTTTCCACATGGATTATATTCAGGTTCTCCTTTTTTATTTTGTGGGTAAATGATGCTATGTTGAGAAAAACATGTAGACAAAATTAGACTACATTCTGTATACATTTATACTACATATAAATACATCATTTAAACCAACCTTTCCAGCTTGGCAGCGCAACAGGGAGAAGAGGGGATGGCTTCATGTGAGACAGGCATGTGCATGAGCAGTTCCATTGTGTAAGTGGCACATACATACGTTGCTTGCACAAATGGAGTTTCACATGAGTACCAGTACCATTGGTTGCACAAATGGAGCTGCACTCATGAGCACGAGTGCCAGCCATTCATGCAAGTGGAGTTGTGTGATTGCTCGCCTGTAGCTTGTGAAACTTGGTTCTGATCAGACCATGGTCCAGTAATGGGTCCCCTGATTTAAGCTCTATATCATTAACAAAAACTCAGACAGATATTACGCTAGAAGATATTAGAAATGAAAATATTGTATGAAAAAGTAAAATGAAGCATAAAGATAGCACTTACCAGAAGAACTTAATAGCAAATATAGATTATTATTGCTTTTCACTTTTATGGGAAAACTTACTTTTGGCATATTTTTCTTAACAAAATGATAGCATCATCCAATAAAACAACTTAAAAATTAAACAAAGACTATAAATTATAGTGGATTTATCCTGAAGTGTTTTACATTTAGAATTCAAATATTGCCACTGATATGGCAATATCAGGGATGTCATTTTACCAGGGATGTCAAACTAGATTTCTTCGAGGGCCGATCAGCACTATAGTTCTCCTCTGTGGGCCAGCTGAGGGTGGGGAGATGGGATGGATGCCTCCTACAGCACCCTGCCAGCCAAAACAGGGCATGGGTGGCCATCCCGTTTTCAGCCTGGATGGCCTCCTGCAGCCCTCTGGCAGCCAAAATGGGGCACGGGGGGCTGCATGCGCTCCCCCCCCCCGTGTCCCATTTTGGCTGCCAGAGGCACCGCAGGCCGATCTTTTGCTATTTCTAGGCTGGCCCCATGGGCCAGATTTAAGCACCCCATGGGACAGATCCTTGAATTTGACACTCTTGCATTAAACTTATAACCAGGCCAGTGTTTCTCAGTCTTAGGAACTTTAAGATGGATGGACTTCAACTCCAAGAATTCCCCCAGCTAGGGCATTCTATTTTTGAATGATTTAACTCTTTCCTTTTTCACTTGACTAGCAATAAATGTACTCAAGAAATGAAAAAGCAATTTGATAAAGTATGTTGAAACTATCATCTAAAATCAAAGGTATCGACTTCTAAAGTAAATTTAAATCAAAATAAAGTGTATCCCAAGTTAAGTGTTACTGGCAACAAATAAAATTATTAAATAAAACTGCATGTCATTGAGCAGAAAAAAGTGTACCTTGTAATCAATTTCTTGTTGTATCTTCTCTCATAAGCTGCACTGATAGCAAGTGAAGCAACAAAGGAACAATCTGAAACAATTGTCTAAGAACCAAACAGAACAAACAAATACAAATAGAATTCAGGAATTTAGTTCTTACAGTTCAGCATAATAATGGAGACAACTTTGATCCAACCCAAGTCTATTTTTATTTCCTTAGTTGAGTTAAAAACCTGTCAGTTCTCTGACAGATTCAAACTGAATTCAAAAGTATTCTCAATGTGTTTTAATGATAACCCTTATCACTAGTTCTCTTCCCCTCTTCCCCCTCTCCTTGTCACAAAACAAGTGGTTTTAATGGGTGTGACACTGTAAATGGAATAGTAGTTGTACTCTTGGACAATATTCCCAGAACCTATTAACACAGGATGTGATAAGACCAGAGAAGAGATACTGAAGCTGTAGGGCGTGTAAACAGAGAAAAGAGACCGAGTAAGGCAACATCCAATCTTCTTTTTCCAGTAAAAACAAATATAGGTGAAGTTACAGGTACATCTTATCTAGTGACTGCCCTGCTTAGTGACTGTTCAAAGTTGCAATGATGCTGAAAAAGTAACATTACCACTGCTCCTTGTACTTACGACCATTGCAATGTCTCCATAGTCATGTGATTGAGATTCAGTGCTTTGCAAACAACATTTATTTATGGTTGCTGTAGTCTCCTATCATCATTTGATTACTATTTATGCATTTCACAGCTGGTTTTTGAAAGCAGAATTAATGGAAAAGCAGCAGTAAAATCGCAAGTTAATGGTCACATGTTGTCTAACTTAAAAGCCATGTTGATTAGAGATGAAGTTGTAAATTCCAATTTTAACTGTTAAACTGTTAAACTTTCATAAAACTGTAAGTGTACAATATATACTAGAAAGCAAATTTGCAGGCAAGAGATGGAGAGAAACCAAAAAAATAGGCTTACCTGTTTAATGCTGAAGCTTGACACAGTATAGATCATAGTGGGATTATTTGTTATATCGTTTGGCCGCACCCAACGAGAAAACATGGTCTTTTGCTTAGGAGACAACGGCAATGGGCCACATTTATCTCTGAAATCAAAACTACTTGTAACTATATCATCCTTAGCAAACATCATTTCATCAAATATTATTATTCAGGATATTTTTTTTTAGAAAAAAGAAATCTAAGCATTTTCAGTGCATACGACCAGCAACTACATTTTTATGGCTTTCCTCTTAGCTTCCCAGTTCTTAATAAAAGTAATTTAGTTCCTATTCTGAATTAGAGCCTGTTACATTTCAGTCAAACTAGTCTCTTTATTATAGAACATTCCTTATTTTCAATCTGATTTGTTTTTTTAATTTCTGAGGTCCTTGAACATATGTCCTCTAACTTACCCTGGTTCTATTAAGACACAAGCTATTCCCTCATTGGCTAAAATCTACATCATAATAAACCAGGGGTCCTCAAACTTTTTAAACAGAGGGCCAATTCATGATCCCTCAGATTGTTGGGTCCTCCGGACTGGCTGGGTGGGCGTGGCTAGGTGGTCATGTCATGGTGGTCATGGCCAATTTAGCAGTCCATTAAACAATACACACAAATTAAACTTTAATTTGTTTTGCTCCTGGGGGTGTTTTATTTGCTTTTGTTTGCATGTTGTTCTTTTGGTTGATTTTTCTTTTTACTAGATCATTTTTTAAATTGTTTAGGAGTCTAGTGGTCCACTTCAGGAAACTCAGTTTTGCAGCAATTCTTCTCAGCCCCAAGGAGCTTACAATCAACAAGTGTCTTTCTCTCTTTCCCTCCCCTCCATCTCTCTCTCCCTCTTTCTCTCTCTGTCTCTATTTTCTGGAGGCGGGGCAGGAGGGGAGGTAAAAAATGGGGTGTGCGGAGGCCCCAGGAGGCTTCTGCATGCCGTTTTTGGCCGGCAGAGTGCTTCTGGATGCGGGGAGGCCAAAAACCGAGTGCACAGAGGCCTCCTGTGGCATCCACATGCCTGGTTTTTGGCCTCCCCCACCTCCATAAGCATTCTGCTGGCCAAAAATGTTGGCTTTACCTTCCAGTTCCAGCCCATGGGGCTCGCGAAGCTAAGTCCTGTGTTTGGCTGGTGAGGGGCTGGCGGGTGGGTGGGGCAATATGGGTGGGGCAGTCTCATGGTCCTGCGTGGGCTGGATTAATGGCTTCGGCGGACCGTATCTGGCCCACAGGCCGTAGTTTGAGGATACCTGTGCTAAACCAAGACTAACTCTAACACATTATATGCACTGCACTATGTCTAATGCAGTGGATAAACCCTACCACTATGATTTGTAAACCATGACTTATGATCTGATATTATGTGTGAATAAAGCACTATGGCTTATTCAGTAACTTAGCACAACATGTAAACAAGTGTTAGCAGATAGTCTTTGGGGAGATATTTAACTTACAGAAAGGGTGAGCAGAATCTTGGCAACTCAAAAATAAAGTTTATAACTATTATTTGGGTAATTATTTGAGGTAATCCCTCCAAACCTAGAAAGAGTTCTAGCTTAAAAAGAGGAAATAGAGCAGGAATTCCTGCTATACTATTCAAGTCCACATTTCAGATATAAATTGCCTGGAAGAGGTCAAAGGAAGTATGGTAAAAATTCATTATTAATTAATAAATTTTTAATTAATTCATTATTAATTCATTATCAATTAGCACACCTGGCGACTCAACATTTAAATACTTTAATTGAAAATGTTTAGTACGGCCGAGCTCCACGTACTGCATCAAGCCCAGAAACTACTCCTGCCATCAATTAAGGAAATCTATCAGCGCCAAAGCCCACTGTATTTACCAATTTATTTGTAATTGCAGAGACAATTACATTGGCAGAACTGATAGGTGTTTGGCTTTTAGAATGAAGGAGCATTTCCCGAAATGGATCCAGACAGCTTTGAGTAATCCAACAGCAGCAGCAAATCATGGTCAGAAAATGCTTTGGCCATTGCAAGACATTTATTAGCTATGTGCCACCAAGTTGATCCAAACATTGCATTCAGTTTTATTGCACCACAGGAACTCTCATTTTCTGCGGTTTGCCGAAGCAGTTGCCATCAATCAATTGAAGCCTTTTTTGTGTGTGCAGAAACAGCTGTTTGTCAATCTACGCCTCCTGTGGGCGTGAGGTTTGCCATTGGTAGTTCCCCACACATGTTATATGTTTTATATAACGTTTTAAACATTCTTGTTAGAACCTATATTTTATGCTGATTTTCAACCATTTTATTGTAAGTTTGGTACTGATGAGTCAATATGAAATGCTTGCATCTACCACTGTTCGTCTTTTAATTGTACTGTTTAAAAATTCATTAGAAAATACACTGCAAGAGGCCATTGCTTTAACAGATTGCCAAACTGATATGTCAGTTAAATTTGCTGACATAAATTTAAATTATTTTATAATAAGCCTTGGGGGAACATTCCAACAAAAAGAAAACTGGCTAGAGAGTCAGATACAAATGCTTCTCCTCTTGCACATCTGCCCTATTGGCGAAGCCTATCAGAATATCAGTCATCTTGAAAATCGCAATGTCAAAGAATACAGGGAAGAAAGATTGCTTGTGTGTACTACTAATTTCCATGTTTGTTTAAAACATGGTTTATGTACTCATGTGCACCACAGCAATTTTTCAGATTTGCTTAATATTCATATAGTACATAAAATTGTACATATTTTTCCAAATAGCACAATTTGAAAAATTGCTATTGATAACCAAACATAGTGAGCAATTTTTAAAATCCATGTTTGTCCATGCATGAATGGACAACACACACACATATATATATACAGTATGCATACATACATATTAGTAATTGCAGCTTATTACAGTAATTACAGCTCAACAATACTGAAAGCTCTAAATCAGGGCTGTCAAATTCCCTGCCCGTGGACCAGATGCATCAAGTGCTGGCCACACCTCCACCCGGTTTAGCGAAGGGGGAAAAAGTCCCAATACATCTTATGACACCGCTGTGATGATGTGAGTTTGACACCCCTGCTCTAAATAGTGAGCAGTGAAAAAAGTATTTGGTGAGTACAAAGATAAACTTACGAGAAAGGTATTGGAAAAGCAAAACGTTCTCTCAGGTCAACACTCATGAAAGGGACATATTCAATGCCATTTATTTTTGATGTCTTCCTAAATACAAAGGAAACATGTTAGAAAAACAGATCTGTTCAAATTCTACTTCTTTCTCTTCATGCTAGCCGCTTATGAACAAATGTGGATTTGTTCTGCCTAGTATTTGGGTCCCTTCCTGCTATGAGACCTGAATTAAACATATAGGTCTTCAGTGTAATTTTTCTTCAGTTTGCACTGAAAGTCCTGTTTAGAGAGCAACCTATTGTTTTAAAAGTATTCCAATATTCCACCTTTCAAAGTGACAGAGCAATAGAGATATGTGACAGAATAATTAAAACTACATGATGATCACTTTGAAAAGCTTAAAAATTGTGTTTAGATTCATTTCCTGCTGAGAAGACCCTAGATCCCTTTGTTTATGGCAAGTGCTGCCATTAAACAATTTCTATGGTTAAATCCAAGTATTTTTCTTGATTTTACTACAAGGTGGTTCCTATGGTCTTTTTCCAGGAAGATTTTTTTTCAACTTCCTAATCTAAGAGCCCTAGAATTCCATATATAGGTTGTCCTCGAGTTATGAATGTAATGGAGCCTGCCCATTCCATTCATAACTCGAGGATTCGTGGGAGTGAGTCTCATACCTTGAATGGGATCACTCCCTCCTTTTACTCATACATTTGCTAATCAAATGCATGGCTCGTTAAGTGCATGTGAGGTATTACAGGGTGAGAAGACCATGGGAGGGCCTAATGATGAAATAGGCCACCTGCTTAAGACCACCCAACAACTCCCCAACCCAATGAAATACCTCATGCTCCACACAATTGCTTCCCCTCCCACCCAATCTGCCGCATTGGGTCACTTACCATGTGAAGCTCTAGAAAGCTATCTCCTCTCCAGCATCTCAGCTGTATGCATCCGTCTGCAGATCCATTTTGGTATGCGCAGGCCTCACCTGGCATTTTGCCAGCAAAAACAGAGCTCTGTTTAGGCCTGCACAGGCCTCATCTGACACTTTCAGGCCAAAATGGAGGTTCGGAAGAGCGGGCCTGCCCATCCAACACTCCCTTTTGGCCGGCAAAGTGCAGGACGAATGTGGCAGAGCCTCTGTCGTTGTTCGTAAGGGTGAACAATTGCTGTGGTGCTGCAAGAGTCATAGTTTCAGGACTTGTTTGTAAACACTAGGGGGCACTTATTGAACGTTTGCTAAGGAAATGCTCATAACCCGGGGATTATCTGTAGTCTTATTCAAATACTAACACTGCTTACTATTTCAACTAAATGCTTGCCATAGGGTAGCGGTCCTCAATTTTTCCTGCTCTGTGGACTGGCAGCGGTGGGAAGGGGATGATTTCACCTGTATGTAGGCTGCTTGTGCAAATGGAGCTTCCCGTGCTTGCCAACCACTTGTGCAGCTGGTTCCAATAGGCTACAGACCAGTAGTGATCCGCAGACTGAGGGTAGGAGATCTTTGCCATAGGGCACCTTAATGCTTACAGATTTTGAAATTATCTTTTTCCCCCAATAAGTAGACATTTTTACTTCAATTTAAGGTGGAAATGTCTAGTAATAAAGGATTTCTTAAAAAGAAAAACACTTTCTGACAACCAGGCTACTCTACCTCTTTCAACTGAACCAGCCACAGTTCCTGCAGCACTCCCCTTAGATGCTTCCACAGATAGTCCTCCCCATACAACATTCATTTAGCAACTGTTCAAAGTTACAATGGCACTGGAAAAGTGACTTATAACTAGTCCTTGCACTTATGACTATTGCAGCATCCCCAAGATGATGTGATCAAAATTTAGGCATTTGGCAACAGCATGTATTTACAATGGTTGCAGCATCCTGGGGTAATGTTAATTGCCATTTGCAACCTTTCCGCTTGGCTTCCAAGAAGCAAAATCAATGGGGAAAGCCAGATTCATTAATAACCACATGATTAACCTAAAAATTCCAGAGGCACAATTGACTTAATGACCTCCCTGCTTAGCAATGGAAACTGGTGTTCCAGCTGAGGACTACCTGTATTGCTTTAAACAAAATTTTACATTTAATTGTTTAAAACATATAAAAATGTGATGCTAGATCAACTAGATCTAGTCTTTCCCATGCTATTGCTTCCTATCATGCAATGAGTACCAACTCCTCAAATCTCCATGAACTCTATTCTAAATATCTGCAGCCATCACATCTGAAAGGGAGCAGCTTGAAGAAAGCTGGTTCAGTTATTTATTATGCAATATTATAACCATCTCCAAAAAGAGTGGAAGAATCTATCTGAACTTGTTTAATGAAGAAAATTAAGACAGACAATCTGGGAATTTCCAGGCTAATTTCCAGATTAGACCAAGCGTGCCCAACCTGTGGGCTGTGGCCCATTACCACGCTGTGGCCTGTTGACCACTGGACTGCGGCCCCGTTTGTGAAACTCTCATGCTTCACATGTGCACACAGATTAGACAATGGATGAAACCATCCAGAAGGTGGCAGCAATAAACTTCTCTCTTAAGATAGGAAAAATATATGGATGTGTAAATTATCCAGAGCTAAGCTTGGCATGAAGGAAGTTTCAGACCATAATATTAGCAACAGTTTTTCTTCTTTCATTCGCTTCCTGAAGAAAATGTTATTAACTTCCTGATATACACTCATCAATAAGCAAGTCCGCATGCCGATTTTAAGAATTATGAAATAGCAAATTTAATCTATATAGACAATTTGCTGCATTTATCTCTAGGATAGTATTTTTCAGCATTAAAATCTACACTCATTTATTTAAGTTAGCTTATTCAATAAACTAGGCTGTAGCCTAGATTAGGAACTACATCTATATATATATAAGCCAAATACCACTCACTCATCACGAAATCTCCAGAACGGTAAAGCCTACAAATTTGAAATTTGGTATGTATGTTCCTCTTGGCTTCTAGTGCTTGCTAAGAAAGGATTTTTCGAAATGACCATCTGATCATTAGTATTTCATATACAGTATTATATTCGCAGTCTGATGCTAAGGAGTTAGACGTTCTACTCCCACTCCCCACCTGAAAAGAACTCTGTCCCAACTGCCAGTTGTCTTATATTAACACGTTCTGATGTTACCTCTTCGCTAAACTGGGTGTGGGCATGACCAGCGTGTGACTCATCTGGCCTATGGGCTGGGACATTCTACTCCCCTCCCCCTCTGTTCCAACTGCCAGATGCCTTATATTAACATGCTCTGATGCTACAGAGTTACACATTCTACATTATGTTTCAGGCTTTAAGTCTCAATTTATCATGCCCGATCACATAGTTTCATAGCGAAGCATGGGTGTCCAGCTAGTTTTATATAAACATATTGCAGAATATATTTTTCCTCCCTTACCTGAGTACTTGGATCTCCTCCACAGTATATCGCTGACCTTGAGGTTCACTAGCATGAACAGGTCTGATGGACTGTGGCTTATCATTCAAGGAAAAATCAGGTCCCAATGGGAAAAAAGTTCTCACTAGCTGACCTTGCTTCACTGGAGCTGGCTTGTCTTTCTGAGATGCCTTTGAATTTTTCAGTGCTTCAGCTCTACAATTAAGTTAAAAGAAATGGCAACTGCAATATAGCAAAAAGAATGTGTTCATTCTTAAACCTTATATGCTTCCCTATAGACATAAAAACCACAAGGGTCAAACAAAACTCAGCAGAATTGGTGGATTTTGCTCTCACCAATTAAACTGATGAGTACCTGGGAATTAAGTTCAACTCAATTATTCCAAGTTACTTTACACAAAACTTAAATCATATGTATATGAGCTATGATTACATATAAGATTTCTTTTTTTAAAATCAAGTTTTATTAATCCCTCCCCCCATTTTCACCCACATATTTTATGAAGATATGGCATATCATAACTTATACAATTTAACATATTCAAGTACATTTTACTCAGTTACAATTTTTGCCAAAATTTCCTTTTTCCATTTTTTAATCCTGTCTTAAAATTTATATGCTTATTTATATAAACAACATCTTAATTCACCCTCAAATTCTAATTTTTCTGTTTTAACTCATATTTATTCTCTTTTATTTTTTAATAACTCATTCTTTATCCTAGTACATTTATGCATGTTCGGGGTTGCCTTTCTTCCATTTTATCTTTTTTATTGTACAGCAATCTTTCTTCTCAATCTCTCCCTCCCTTCTTCCCTTTCTACTTTCTTCTTCCGGCTTCTCCTACTCCTTCTCTACTTCCCCTTCCTTTCTCCCTCTCCTCCTCTCTTTCTTCCTTTCTAACCCTCTCTCCTACTCTTATTTCCCCTTCCTTACTTCCTCTCCTCTTTCCTTTCTTCCCATTCCTCTCTCTCCTTCTTCCTCCCTTCCATCCCTCTATTCCTCTTTCATCTCTCTCTATTGCTATATCTATTTTCTATTTTCCACTATGGTGTCCAAGCAACCCCAATTTTTTTTTCATTTATTTTCTCAAAATTTCCCTTATCTTTTAATTATTAACAATGTATTTCAACTTATTCCATTTTTATCTTAAATCCTTTACTAGTATAACCTTCCAACCCTTAACAATATCTTTCTTCTATTTTATTTCTTACATGTAGTGTTTTATTCTTACTTCCATCATTTATTAACATTTCCATTTTATTCAATTTTACATTTCAATTTTCCCCTTAATTTCAATTATTTTGTTACTATTATTTCTCTCGAATTTGTATATCTTCCAACAACAAAATATATAGTCCATTCTGTCTTTCACATTGCATCTACTGATCTATTTTATATCAAATAGAGTATTTCTTCTTTTTTACTTACTCACATTTCATTTTATCTTTACTTATATCCCTTTTACAATAATGTGTATTGTACAATAATTCCTTCTAAATTGTTTTTTACATGATTTCTAAAGTTAACATCCTTCTCTTCAATTAGCATATTCATCTTTTAAATTCCTTTTTACTATCTCCTATTTCCTTTTAATTTCTTCACAATTCCATTTCTTGACACTTTCCTCCCTTTCTCCCATTCCCTTGCCTTCTTCTCCTCCTTTTCTTCCCCATTTCTTTCTCTTCTCTTCCTTTTTGAGATGTATTCCCCCTTATCCATTTTTATTCTATCACTATTAATCCCAGTATAATCATCTTTTTTATTCTGTCACTGTTAATCCCAGTGTGATCATCTTTTTTATTTTATCAGTTAATCCCAGTGTAATCGTTTTTTATTTTATCACTGTTAATTCCAGTGTAATCATTTTATTCTGTCACTGTTAATCCCAGTGTAATCATCTTTTTTATTCTGTCACTGTTAATTCCAGTGTAATTATCTGTATCTTTATTTTCATTAATTTCCTTCCCAATTCTCCATGTTATCAATTTAAAAGGCAAGGATTTTTAAGTTTATTATTACTTTACATATAATTTATATTCAAAGTCCATGTAGTGTCTTTTTTTCTTTTTTATCTTTCCAGATAGTGTCCAATTCAAACGTTCCTTTGAGCCATTCCAATTTCAGTCTTTGTTCTCCCTGCTCCTCTTGCAATCACGTTCTAGTTATATAAACAAAACATTGTACAGTACTTCCAGAATTTTATCACAATGATATAAATAAGTTTAGTACGATACTTTCTTTCCACCAGCAGATGTCTCTCTCCAATTCACAAATCCTGCAGCCACAAAATATCCCTTTGTAGATCCACAAAAATGATTATTTCCTCTTCTCCGAATTAAATCCTTTTGTTGTTTAAAGAATACTTCTCTATCTCCCTTTTTCTTGTCTTATTTTAATTTCATCCAAATCCAGTTTTAAATCCTGGTGAAAGGTTCTTTTTAAAGCTTTAGTTTTAGTTTTAAAATTCCTTTTGTTCTTTCGCTTAAATTCCCGAGTGCCAATTAGCCGCTAATTAGTCGTTGGGACTTCTTTCAACCTTTTAAATTTTTTTCTTCTTAGCTGTGAGTTGGCCAATTACTCACCCGGTAACAATACTCTGTTCATTCTCCACTCCTGCTCACATCTTAATCCGGTTGCCCCAGCTTGTAGGGACATAATGGCGGCCTCCCCAACCGTCAGGTCAAAGAGCTGTCTCCGACCTTCTGAGGAGCTTGCCTGCTTCTCTTTGATCTTTCAAGACACCTCTATCTCTGCCCCGTCCCTCCAAGACGGTTCTGGTCCAAAGATCCCCTGACAGCGGTTTGTCTGGCTGGGTTTTCGTGAAGCCCATCGGAGCTTTGCTATTTCCCAGCCAGTATCGCCACGACGCTTCCGGTTCCTCCGATTACATATAAGATTTCTGATTTAATTATTATGTCTTGTTTTATACCAATATTGAACAAACCAGAATGAAAAAATATTCAGCATTATTTTCAAACAGTTAAAATGTCTTCTTGTATACCTCAGACATGTTTTATGCCATAGTTCTGGATCGCTATCTGGATCGTAAGTATAGAAATCTAAGCTCTCCAGACATTGCAGAACAAATATCATAGGGTTCCTAATCAACCAAGTCAACAGTAAATTGCTTAAAACTAGAAAAAGAGACATTTAGAGTGACCCTCATATTCCTGCTTTATATTTTTATTTTGTATATTAAAATAGTAGATAAATTAATTAGTTGTAGGCTGAAAAATAAAAGTGCAGTGATGGTTGTGAATACATTTGAAACTTTTTAGTTGTTTAGTTGTTGAAACTTGTCTCTCCTCTGTTTACCACACTCAGTGTTATAAGCGATGAAATAATGGAAACTATCATATAATATACATGTACAAAATTCCAAGAAGTTTACCTGTCCAATGCCTGTCGAGCTAGTTGCTTCAGTTTGATTTGAAGAACTGTTTCTGATGTTTCATTAGACTGGAATATTGAAAAAATAAGAAGGAAAATAGTCTATTAAACTATCTATAAAATAAATCAGCTCAGTAAATTTTCTTTCCCATTTACTACACAACTGTTTATAGAAAATGGAGAAGGTATAACCATATCAGGCTATTATTAGCACCTTCCGTCACCAATATATAAACTAAAATTGCTCAGATACAACTAATTAGAAGCTAATGTTGTACAGTGAATAAAAACTAAATCCACTACTGTGTTTCTCCAAAAGGAAGGCTGGGTCTTATTTTCTTTTGACCCCTGACAAAACGGCTAGGCCTTCTTTTTGGAGGGTTCTAATTATTGACCCACCTCACGGCGGTGGCACTGACAGCCACGCCCAGCAGGAGCTCACTTCTTCTGCGGCCACTTGCCGCCACTGACACGCATCACCCTGACCTCCTTTTTGCCTTGCGGCAGGCATCTGAAGAGGAAATGGAGGCCGGGGCGATGCATGCGAGTGGTGGCAAGCAGCCGCAGAAGAAGGCAAGTCAGGTGTTGGGGTGTGCGAGGCCTTGTAAGTAGGGCAGCTCCACCCCCCATACCCACCCTAGCTTATTTTTTACCTGTTTGCCTCGCCCCAGCCCCTGCACCCTGGGGTGGGCGGGGCTTAATTTGATCACATGCGCTCAAAAATGTGATAGGGCTTCTTTTCAAGGTGGGTCATCTTTTTGGAGAAACATGGTATTTCCTACCTTTATGGTTTGGTATTCTGAGATGCTGTTGAGACTTTTCCTCATAGTCACTTCACAAGTCCAGTGGTGGGTTACTGCTGGTTTGCCCCTGATCAGGTGAACCAGTAGCAGTGGTGGCGGGAGGCTCCACCCACCCACCTGAATGCTTCTGTGCATACACAGAAGTGTTGCGCATCTATGCGAGTGCCCAGCAAACTGGTAGCAATGGGTTTTGAAACCCGCCCCTGGTTTTGTCTGCTTACCCACAGTTTACCCAATTTGTGATTCACAAAGCACACTATACCATAATTACTGTACCTATGCTACAAAGACATAACAGGTTAAATGAAAATCTACTTGGCTAGTTGTCATACAAATATTTCTATCATGGGTCATTGTTGCTTTCTGAGCTTGGCTGTTTTTTTGCAGACATTACCCAAATTAGCATTGATGCTAGCACGGAGGATGATACAGTTTGGGTAATGAAATGTCTACAAGAAAAGAACCAATTTTAGAGAGCACCAAGGAGCCTAATTCCAATCCTGGGCTACAAATATTCTCCTTTATTGGAAATATCACTACTGTAATCAATCCAACCATCTAAGTAACCATAATTCTCAATTAGAACAAAACAGTTAGGTGATCCTCCAATCCTTGAAAATATAATTATTGTAGACATGTAGAAGGAAAAATATTTCATCTGTAGTAAGTCCAGCTTTAATTAATGAACAAAGCAAAACTACTGATGTTAATGCCAGCAGTTAAAACAGAGAGATTTCAAGAATTTAAGGAAATAAAGCAAACCTAAATTCAATTTTACTCAAAATACCAAGATTCTTTCAAGAAGGCGGAGAAGAAGAGGACAAGAGAGAGTCATACTTGGTGGAGTTACATCATGATTGTGAGCTCTTCCTCTAAGATGTTTTGCCTATAATATTCACTAAAATAGTATAAAAAAATGGTACCTGCAACATTCAAAGTATTATCACTAGACTGAAGTTGCAAATCAAATGTATGCAGCTGTGCTATGCTTTCACCAGAACTAGCCAACTATCCTCCATAACTGCTACCTAATGCAAGGAAAAGAGCTGTTTGGGATTTATAGATATAAATGCTCCTATGTACTCTACAGCTTCTTTTTTGCTTCAGACATGAAACAGTGAAGTTATTGTGAGTAGGTTTTTACAAATTCAAATTCAGTTCAGGGTTGTGTTATAATCTATCTGATCACAAGTTTCACTGAAATCACTGGAGCAAATTTATTATAACCATAGACACGTTTCACTGATTTCAACCACTACTGAAACTTTTTTTTTTGCCCTTAACATTTACCGTATTTTTTGGAGTATAAGACACACTTTTTTGTCTCCCAAAAGGGGGTGAAAATGTCTGTGCGTCTTATAGACCTAATAATGCCGAAGCCCCGCCCGCCCACAGCAATTTTTTGACCTCCACATGCCCCATTTTCAGGCCTTTTTCAGGCCCATTTTTGAGGCTTTTTTCAGCCAGTTTTTCAGAAAAAATGGGCCGAAAAAAGCCCCCAAAACAGGCTAAAAAAAGCTTCAAAAACAGCCTGGAAAAAGCCTCAAAAATGGGCTGAAAAAAGCCTTAAAAACAGGTAAAAAAAAGGCTGTAAAAGGCCCGAAAAAAGGCCCGAAAATGGGGTGCGTGGAGGCCAAAAACTTGTTGTTTTCCTCTTCTAAATTTAGATGCGTCTTATAGTCAGATACATCTTATAGTCCGAAAAATATGGTAACTTAATGGATAAAGAGTAGAAATCAGAGATATTCAGGGAAACGGGCTCACAAACTCTAAAATCTTCTGTTCCTATTTCAGTAATAGTATTGTAACTCATTTGTTGGAAAAAGTACCTAAAATTGTTCTAGAATGTTTTTTTAATATGAAAAATGTAAAAATAACACTGTGGTGAGAAGGGCAGCAAACAATTTAATAAACAAAAATAAAATAAATAAAAAATAAATCTGAAATAAAGGCTCAGGACAATTCATTCTCAGCAGTATTCCAAATCACAAAAACTTTCCTGAATAGAAACACAGGTACCACTTTTTTATCTAGAGGTGAAGGGTATGTGCATACATCATATTTTCTGCTTTAAAAATTAGAAGCTAATTCAAAGGGCTTATCTGATCCAAAACACTGGTTGGTTATTTATCTTATTGAAATTTCCCTCCAGAAAAAAAAAGAGATTTTCTTTATTGCCTTCCATAGTCTTTCTTGTTGGCGCTAACCAGATATAGTATAATCAAGTTTCTAAATCAATCAAGAAAATATGGATGTATGTGCACATCTGCCTGAAAGTCACCTGAATAAAGGGAAGGGTTTCTTACCATAATATAAATCCACCAAGTTAAGTGGTAGCTTAACGTACTGTTTTCAAACAGAGCTCCACCGCTTCCGTGTACAGCTCTATAGCTTCCTCATTGTTGCCTTTTTCATCTTCATCAAAAGCTTGGGTAACCAGGAAATGGGCACGCTCCAAGTCCAGTTGCTGCTTTGATTTCAAGGGATCAACTTTCTGCAATTGAACTAAATTAGGGAGAAAATTATTATCTCGCCTTATTTAGTAACTGATGAACTTTTCTTATTAGAAATGCAATATCTGCATAAAAGGCTAGATATAAATTTTACTAATAGCTAAATAATTAAATAAAAATAATATTCATTAGCAAGTCGGGGGTTTACACATGAAAACTGTTACTGATATGTATTTATGTAAACCATATGCAAGAACAATTTAATAAACTCTCTCAAAAACTGAGAGTTTGGACAACAAAATACAATGGAAGAAACTTCAAAAGGAATAACCACTCAGTTCAAGAGAAATAATGGCATATTTTTGCCCTTAAAAGGAATCAAGACATTTCATACATTACAAAATTCCTTTATCTCCAGAAAAGAAAAAGTGGGACCCCTCTCTGGTAAATTTTGTAAGTCCATGAAAAGTATTCACTTCCCGTATGAAGAGATGTGGTTCTGGATTTGGGAAATGATACTGTATTAGACTGTTGAGTAGCATGGTAGTGAAAACAAAAAGTATTTTTATTATTTACCTGCAGTATATAAAGCTTGAACTCTTTCTAAATATTCACTTATTTTCCCTGGAATATTTTCTAAGGTTGATCCTGCCATTGCAGCATAAATCAAGGCTTGTGCAGCTTCCTGAGGAAAGAAAACATATCCCAAGTATGAAATTTTCTAAAAGCGGTAGCTTTAATGATATCAGTATAAATAGATGTGGCAAGTGGTTTTCAAAGAATTCATTAAAACATGGTACCATTTTAGAATTTTGCAAAGGATTCTCAAAATTTGTATGCTTATACACAACTGCTTTTCTAGTTATGAGTAAAACTCAAATTTTGTTTTTTTTAAAATGAGACTTGAGGGTAGTCAGGTAAATGACATCAGAGAAAGCATGGCCAAAATGTTCATTTAAAAAAAGAAGTTATAAGAACCTCAGTAGATTGTTTAAACTTTAAAGCTTCATTTGAGCCCCTTTAAATATCTAAAAGCAGAGTTTAGATATGCCCCTAAGATGGGATAGTCATCTTAATGAGGGTGCAGCCTCATTAAAGAAGCTATCATGGTTAGGCTTAAAAAGGCATGAACCCAAACAGGATGCTACTGCATTAAGACATGTTGGGCTGATTTATCTTGTAGTAAAAGGTATGTACTCATGCTCACTCAGGGTCAAAGTACTGTAAATAATTTTTATTCCTTGGGGAAGGGGACGAGGGGGATATGGAGAAAAACGTGATTCTCCTCTACGATAGACTGCCGCCAAAACTTTCTTCTTGTCCCTAGTTTCTGTGAGGAACGGATCTAGAGCATCCCCAAACAGTTTCGCTCCCCGAAAGAGAACTGATGCCAAGCGCCACTTACGTCTGGCATCCGCCTGCCAGTGACGGAGCCAGACCAAGCGGCAAGCCGTGACAGAAGAAGCCAAGGACTTGGCCGCGAATCTGGCCGCATTCAGGGTAGAGTCTGCAGAAAATTGAACAGCTGCCACAATCTTGTTTAAGTCCTGTCTGACTCGAGTGTTGACGCAACCAGAGCAGGTTAGTCTGATTGAAGAAGGACGCCGTGGTAGCTGCCCTGATCGCCCAGACGGACCCCTGAAAGGCTCTCTGGAGAACCAGATCCAAGCGACAGTCATCAGGACTAAGACCCTCGTCGGGCTCGCCAGGAACATTAGGGTTAGGTAACAGCGCAACAACAGGAGTGTCAATCAACGGTACCTGAAGGATAGAGTCCAAATCCAAAGCGACCTGTGTTCTGAATTGAGAATGGCGGATAAGAGACCAAGGTAAGCAACACGGTTTATTCACAGCAACAAGCACAAGGGTTAAAATGTAACCTAACATCGGTCGTGCGCAGCCGCTATTTAAATTGCAGCTAGGCTCGCACGGCCAATAAAACACTTTAAAACATTCACACCTCCCGCCGGCCGAGCTATCAGCTCAGCCGATCAGGAAGCCTCCCGTTGCTGGGCGGCCGTTCATCAGATCGTAACACTCCTCCCTCTTTAGATAGTACAATAATCGTCCAGATAACCTGGACGCCTACATATACGCCCGGACCGGCGCAAATCGCCGTCCAAGCGATCAGGGGGTGACGCCATCTCCGGTACTTCCTGAAATGTCATAGATGGAGGTAGCTGGTCTGAAGATGGTGGAATATTTGATGATCGTTCAAGAACATCTACGGGTACCTCTGGCAATGAAGGAGCTGTAATTACAACAGGTGAACGTGAAGACCCCAACGACGGAGCCTCTAGAGTACTATCGTCCACCGGATCAGCCATCGGAAGTGCACCAAACATGTCCGGCTCCTCGTTACCCCAGGTCCGAGCCGTAATGCGACTCCTTAGCTGGTCTATATGGCGCCGCCAGGTCCAGCCATCCTCAAGTTCGACCCTGTAAGAACGGGGCCCCGTGACTAAAATAATACGTCCAGGAAGCCACAAAGGATCACCCCCATAATTCCTGGCATAAACGCCATCACCAATCCCGAACACCCGGGGCTGGCTAGAGGAATCCACGGGTGCCTCAGGTGTATAGTCCGGATGTAGCCCATCTAACACAGTCCTTAGTCGCCGGCCCATAAGAAGTTCGGCCGGGCTACGATTGAATACCGGGCACGGGGTCGAGTGCTGCGCCAAAAGGTACCGCTCCATCTTCTCTTGCCAATCACCGGGGCCGAAACGGGCCAAAGCGTCCTTGGCCAAGCGGACGGCCCTCTCCGCCCGGCCGTTACTGGACGGATGATAAGGTGCCACTAAGGCGTGACGAATACCCAACCCCATCAAAAACATCTGAAACGCTGCCGAAACAAATTGGGGTCCATTGTCCAAGACAATTACATCGGGAAGTCCACGTGTGGCAAATATGTTACGGAGAGCCTTGCTCACAGCGTCCGACGTGGTTGATGCCATATGAACAATCTCCACCCATTTAGAATACGCATCAACCACGATTAGAAAAGTCTGGCCCTGAACCGGCCCTGCTAGATCTATATGCAGCCTGGACCACGGATTCCTGGGTATCTCCCATTCCCTAGGTGTGGCAGCCGGGGGCCCTGGCCGGGATGACTGACAAACTTGACACCTTGCTACCCAATCTATGATGGCCTGATCAAGCTTAGGCCACCAAACATAACTACGGCCTAAGGCCTTCATTCTCTCGATACCGGGATGGCTATCGTGCAGCCGTTTCAGAATAGTTGGCCGCAATACAGGGGGAACCACCACTCGGCAGCCCCACAAAAGGCACCCCCGGGAAATAGAAAGTTCATGTTGGCAGATGGAATATGGCTTAACCTCCGTGGGTAACGGCCCACGCAGCCATCCCCTACGCACCCAATCCATGACCTGTACAAGGGTAGGGTCCTGAAGCAACATTTGAAAAGTTTCTTAGACGCAATTATGAGGATGGATAAAGAGATTAATTTAGAAATAGAGTCTAAAATAAAGGAAGTTGATGATAAAATTGATAATCTGGACAATAAAATACAAAGAATTGAAAATGATTTGATAAATATTCAAGATAATAGCTCAGAAGTAAAATCCAAAATAAAGGAAGCTGATTACAGGACCTATAATACAGATAATATAAAACAAAGAATTGAAAAAGAAGTTACAATGATGCAGTACAGGTCCATGGAATTTGCGGTCAGAATAAGGGGACTACAGGAAAATAACAGAGATGATTTGAGAAAGATGTCTGCTCAAGTTCTGGCTGGGATTTTAAAGGTTAGTCCTGAAGAGGTATCTTGCAAGATTGATAAGGCCTACAGAGCTAATTCTTGGGTGGCAAAGCAAAGGCAGTTGCCTAGAGATGTGGTGATCTACTTTACTGATAAAGAAATAAGAAATGATATTGTGCAAAAGTCTTTTAACTCCACTCTTGAAATGCATGGAAGGAAGATTTGGATATTTAAAGAGCTGCCGCCCAAGATGTTAAAAGATAGAAAGGATTTTGGATTTTTGGTGACTGAGTTAAAGAAACAAAACATCCCATTCAGGTGGGATGTTCCAGTTGGTATAATACTGAGATATCAAGGAGAAAGATATCAACTAAATACTGTTGAAAAAGCAGAATAATTTTACTACAAGGTTCTTAAAATGGGTTCAACATCTCCATGTATAACATATGAGGGGAATGAAGAAAAGCAAAATCAACAAGAGATTGAAATTCAGGCTAAGCAGATGGAGGTGGAGGTAATGGAAAAACAACAAGTTATAGAGGCGTTTGTGGATAAACTGCTTTTGGATTCTCCTTCAGAGGTCACAGTTGGACTACCTATAAATACAAGAGAGGTGGTTTTGGATTCTAATGTGATGACTTATCAAATTACAGACCAGCATGGAAATCAACCAGTTGATATACAACTTATAGAAAGGCAACCAGGATGGAGATTTAAGCCACCAAAAGTTAAGAAAAGAAGAAGCAGGTCCTACAAAAATAAAATTTTTTAGACTAAACAACAGTGTAATGCCAGTTACTTAAGAGACGATTGAATACATGAAAATATAGTTGAGGCAAAGTATTGGTTTATACTATTTTGAGGAGAGTGACAGATCTCTGCAGTGCTGTACTTTTGGGATGTGGAAGATGGCCTTAAATTGAGTGGATTGGAACTTTCTATTTTGGACTCTTTGACAAATGGATTACGTTTATGCTGAGCTACAAGGCAAGAGAACTATGGGATTGGGGCATGCAGAAGATCTGGTTGTTACCCTAACACGGTGGTTGGAATTAATAATCTAGATGAAAAAACATTGCAAAAGACACTATATGGAATATAAATATAAAGTCACTCAGGTGGTTTTTTATATACGAAAACATTTACTATTGATGGGGGCAGATGGTAATTGAAGATACTGAATATACTGTTGGAACTAGAATTTGATGTTACCTTAACATGGGTGATAGAATTAACAATCTAGTTGAAAGACATTACAGAAGATATCATATGGATTACAAGCTTAAAGTTATTTGAGGATTTTATTTACATATGGAAATATTTTTTAGTGGTGTGGGCAGAAGAACAAAGATATTAAAACTATTATGTATGGTAGACCTGTAGGAAAGTGGGTGGAGATAGGTTAGTTTACTGATTGTTTAGTTTAAGAAAAGGGATGTTATGTTATATTAATATACGTAAAAGATTTGAATTAAGAGATATATGCATGGGGGAGGAGGAAAAGGGTAGATTATGAGTTGAAATTGCTAAATTAGGATTTATTATATAATTTTACAGCTGAATGTTACTTTGAAATGTATAGTATAAGGGGGATATAATAATATTGTTAGAAAGAAAGGGTCAGCATATGGAGGGTGGAGTAAAAGGATGGTAAAGTATTATATAATCTGTTATTAATTTGGGTTTTATTTTGGAGAAGCCACAGGGGGAGGGGAGGGGGAGGGGGGTTAGGGAGGAGGGGGAAAAAAGGGGGGAAAATCTGTATTTGTAAAACTTTTTCAATTAAAAAAAAAAGAAACTGCAAAAAATAGCCTTGTAAATAGGTCGCCGCTGCTTGCTGAGTCGCGGCGCTTCCAAATCGGCTGGTAATTAACGGCTCTGTCAGAAAACGGCAGGAAATAGTGGTTTAAAATGGCCGCTTCACAGAGCCCGCAGCGTCTCCAAACAGGCAAACAGCC